GCAATCCATAGAACTTCTCCCACCAGGGCTAAACCTGAGCCTTGCGGAGGGAGGGGCCTCCTTTCCCAGTCTGTCCTTTCCTCTCCCTCCCTCCCAGGGACCCTGTAGAACCCTCTTGACATCTTTAACTTCCTCTCCTATCACAGTTTAGTAACTCACCTAGCACCTGAAGCTTTTCCTGTTCAAACTGCCATGTGGTTTGTCTCCTGGCTGGGTCTAGACCTGAACCCCAGCAGCTGTGCCGAGTGCACCCCTACTGGCAAATGAAGCTATTGGTGGCGCTTGTTGTCACCACTGCTGCCATACTGGTCAATACGGAATCACTGTGGAAAGGCCTTTAGCAAATGCACAACTCTTGCTTAAATTCAGAGAATTCATACTGGAGAAAAACCATGTGAATATAATAAATCTGAAAAGGCCATAAACCAAGTTAATAATTTGTTCAACACCACTGAATTCATACTGGACAGAAACTCTGAAGTGTAGCCAATGTGGAGAGTCCAGCTGAAGCCCCAAATTTATCCAACATGGATCACTTCATACCAGAGAGAAACCTTACGGATGTAATAAATATGAAAAGGGCTCTAGGAACCGCTCTGCTTTAACAAGCTCAAGGGAGTACTTGAGAGAAACTTCTAGAAGATATCTGGAGTGGGAAGAAATTTTAGCTAAGCTCAACCTTTAAGTCCCAGAGAGTTTAGATTATAAAGACATTGGGGTTAAGTTGAAGATAGTCAAGAAGCAGGCAGAGAGCATCAGAAATGTAGTTCAGGTATTACATGTGACGGCACCTGAAAATGCCCAATATCTGAAATCTGTGACGGCAGTGACGTGATCAAGATTGTTCCTGGGAGAACTAGAGTCAGAGAAGACTGAAGGAATTCACAGGAAGAGCTTCATCTGGTTGAGAGTATGTGTAACTGGCACTGGGTAAGTGGAAACTTCTATTTTATTTTTTTTTTTAAAGATTTTATTTATTTGACAGAGATCACAAGTAGGCAGAGAGGTAGGTGGGGTGGGGGTGGGGCATGGGAAGCAGGCTCCCCTCTGAGCTGAGAGCCCAATAGGGGGCTCAATCCCAGGACCCTGAGATCATGACCTGAGCCGAAGGCAGAGGCTTTAAACCACTGAGCCACCCAGGCGCCCCAAATGGAAACTCTTAAAAAATGAAACACTAGAGAATCGATTCCATTTACTACAGCACCAAGAACCATAAGATACCTGGGAATAAACCTAACCAAAGAGGTAAAGGATCTGTACTCGAGGAACTACAGAACACTCATGAAAGAAATTGAAGAAGACACAAAAAGATGGAAGACCATTCCATGCTCTTGGATCAGAAGAATAAACATTGTTAAAATGTCTATACTGCCTAGAGCCATCTATACTTTTAATGCCATTCCGATCAAAATTCCACCGGTATTTTTCAAAGAGCTGGAGCAAATAATCCAGAAACTTGTATGGAACCAGAAGAGACCCCGAATCGCTAAGGAAATGCTGAAAAACAAAAATAAAACTGGGGGCAACACGTTACCTGATTTCAAGCTTTACTACAAAGCTGTGATCACCAAGACAGCATGGTACTGGCATAAAAACAGACACATAGACCAGTGGAACAGAGTAGAGAGCCCAGATATGGACCCTCAACACTATGGTCAAATAATCTTCGACAAAACAGGAAAAAATATACAGTGGAAAAAAGTCTCTTCAATAAATGGTGCTGGGAAAACTGGACAGCTATATGTAGAAGAATGAAACTCGACCATTCTCTTACACCGTACACAAAAATAAACTCAAAATGGATGAAAGACCTCAACGTGAGACAAGAATCCATCAGAATCCTAGAGGAGAACATAGGCAGTAATCTCTTCGATATCAGCCACAGCAACTTCTTTCAAGATATGTCTCCAAAGGCAAAGGAAACAAAAGCGAAAATAAACTTTTGGGACTTCATCAAAATCAAAAGTTTCTGCACAGCAAAGGAAACAGTCAACAAAACAAAGAGGCAACCCACGGAATGGGAGAAGATATTTGCAAATGACAGTACAGACATAAGGTTGATATCCAGGATCTATAAAGAACTCCTCAAACTCAACACACACAAAACAGACAATCATATCAAAAAATGGGCAGAAGATATGAACAGACACTTCTCTAATGAAGACATACAAATGGCTATCAGACACATGAAAAAATGTTCATCACTAGCCATCAGGGAGATTCAAATTAAAACTACATTGAGATACCACCTTACACCACTTAGAATGGCCAAAATTAGCAAGACAGGAAACAATATGTGTTGGAGGGTATGTGGAGAAAGGGGAACCCTCTTACACTGTTGGTGGGAATGCAAGTTGGTGCAGCCACTTTGGAGAACAGTGTGGAGATTCCTCAAGAAATTAAAAATAGAACTTCCCTATGACCCTGCCATTGCACTACTGGGTATTTACCCCAAAGATACAGATGGAGTGAAAAGAAGGGCCATCTGTACCCCAATGTTTATAGCAGCAATGGCCACGGTCGCCAAACTGTGGAAAGAACCAAGATGCCCTTCAATGGACGAATGGATAAGGAAGATGTGGTCCATATACACTATGGAGTATTATGCCTCCATCAGAAAGGATGAATACCCAACTTTTGTAGCAACATGGATGGGACTGGAAGAGATTATGCTGAGTGAAATAAGTCAAGCAGAGAGAGTCAATTATCATATGGTTTCACTTATTTGTGGAGCATAAAAAATAGCACGGAGGACAAGGGTAGTTAGAGAGGAGAAGGCAGTTGGGGGAAATTGGAAGGGGAGGTGAACCATGAGAGACTATGGACTCTGAAAAACAATCTGAGGGGTTTGAAGCAGTGGGGTGTGGGAGGTTGGGGGAACCAGGTGGTGGGTACTGGAGAGGGCAAGGATTGCATGGAGCACTGGGTGTGGTACAAAAACAAGGAATACTGTTATGCTGAAAAAAAAAAAATTAAAAAAAGATTTATTTGACCGAGATCACAAGTAGGCAGAGAGGTAGGTGGGGTGGAGGTGGGGCGTGGGAAGCAGGCTCCCCACTGAGCTGAGAGCCCGACAGGAGTCTCAATCCCAGGACCCAGAGATCATGACCTGAGCCGAAGGCAGAGGCTTTAACCAACTGAGCCACCAGGCGCCCCAAATGGAAACTCTTAAAAAATGAAATACTGCGGTGCAGCAGGGAGCCTGCTTCCCCCCACCCACCCTGCCTGCCTGTCTGCTTACTTGTGATCTCTCTCTATGTCAAATAAACAACAACAAAAAAAAACTTAAAAAAAAAAAAAAAAAGAAATACTGCAACACCATGAAAGAGGAGTGTGTATTTGCAAAACCAGGCTGAGTAGGTATGCATCCTGGTAAAAAGGGGACCTGAGGTAGAGGTGAAAATCTGGCTTTATGTAGCTGATTCTGGCTGGCAGGATCAGGATATTTTAGAATTCCAGTCCTTTCAAGTGAGCAAGCAATTTCAAGTTCACCCAGCTTTCCATTCTACCCTATACATTTTATATCCTGTGACTTGCTGTTGCCATACAGGTACCAGCGTGGCCCATGAAGGCCTGTTTGCAACTGCCTGAAAACGGACAGAAAAGTAGGCTGAAGAAAGTGCTCTTGGGAAACCAATGCCTTGCATTAGGACTTTGCCTGCTGGACAAGAGAGCATTTTGCTTACTGCGAGTATTTGGTTTGCTATAGGATTATGCTTTAAAAAAAAAAAAAAGATTATGCTTTATGACTGCAGACACAAGAATTACTTCTATATATTATTGCATGCTCTACATCAAGTACAGTACTAGAATTTTACATTCTAACTTAATCCCCACATCAGGTCCCTGAGCTATTTCTACTCTCCTTTTAGAAATGGGATCAGGGAAGGTTCTGGAAATAATTACCCAAGATGATCAAGTTCTGAGTAGCCCTGCTGTGGAGCCAGGGCTGTGTGGAGAAGCAGAGACAGAGATGGCAATGTTCTGAGCACAGAGGGCTCACTGGGGAAGAGGAGACCCGGCTGCTGGGTGACAGAGGGGCTCCAGGCACACAGTGGGGGTCTAGATGTCCTGCTGACTTCTCTCTCACTTTTGGCTGCACAGTTGTTGAGATGATTTCCTGTCTTTGTTTCTCCATTTACCTTTTTTTTTTTTTTTTTAGATTTTATTTATTTATTTGACAGACAGAGATCACAAGTAGGCAGAGAGACAAGCAGAGAGAAAGGAGGAAGTAGGCTCCCCGCTGAGCAGAGAGCCCGATGTGGGTCTCGATCCCAGGACCCTGAGATCATGACCTGAGCTGAAAGCAGAGGCTTAACCCACTGAGCCACCCAGGCGCCCCTCTCCATTTACCTTTAAAATAAACCCTCGTCAACTCAAGTCAGAGGTTTATGCGGGTCCTTGCAAACTAAGAGAGTCTAACACAAGCTTTAATAGCTTCAAACAAATTTTTCTTAAAGATTTTATTTATTTAAGAGAGAGAGAGAGAGAGCATGAGAAGGGGGACAGTCAGAGGGAGAAGCAGACTCCCTACTGAGGAGGGAGCCCATATAAGGGACTCGATCCCGGGACTCCTGGATCACAACCTGAGTCGAAGGCAGACACTTAACCAACTGAGCCACCCAGGTGCCCCTAAGAGCTTAAAACATTTTATTATGAAAAGTACAAGGAGCCATTTACAAGCCAAATCATCAGAATGAAATAGCACACATAATTTTTATACACACATTTTTTCCTATACAAAAAGTTGCCCTCTGTAGGGATATAAAATAAATAATCTAAAAATCAGTGTCACTGATTGCAAAACAGGTATCTCTCCGACTCTCTCAAGCCCTCTACGTGGCCAAAACGTGAGGTGTCTGACATCTGTTGCGGGCTTGGGCGGTGAGTCTCTGGCGAAGAGTTCTTACTCTCTCCATAAGATCCCGCTCCGTGGTATCCCACTGCATTCTTCTTTGATTTAAAGAAACTTCAAAAAAAGAGTAAAATTAATAGCTTAATTTTCTGATGTTAGATACAGCATTTATTTTGAAGGTAAATACGTTGCCAAAACCCAATAATGAAATGAATATTTGAAAAGTCAAACATCTTGAATGAAAAAGCCTAACATCTTGTTTCCTACATTGTTCCAGTTACAAAGCCAAATACTTATTTGTCAAATTGAATGAAGCCTATCAGAGAACTTACTTGCTTTTGGTTATGTAGCACTTGTTTTTAAATTGGGGGGATATAGATAATTGTTTAAATCAGGAACAAATCTTGTCCAAGAGAGGATGAGAGAGTTCTTTGCAACACTGTTTCCTCACTAGAATACTTAAAGATAGTGAGAAAAAGCACTCCAAGTCGCCAAAATTAATATTTAGAAAAGTACACCAAGACTACTTTCCCAATGACTAAATAAAAATAAATAAATCAAATGGTCTTCATAGTGGCCAACAGAGGGAGAGTCCAATTAAAATATTACAATGTGTCCAAGTGCAACAGCCATTTCATACTGAGTTTGAGGGGCTAGTAAACACTGGAATCTGAAAAAAAAAGGACCTTAAAAATACAATTCTTTCAAACTTAGTTACATATTCAAACAGCTCCAATTTCTGAAAAGTGTATTTTCCTCCACAGGAATCCCACTTTTGTGTTTCGTTTTGCTGCTAAACACCTAAGCTTACCAAATATCTTGACTTGATTTTCTAATTTAGAATTATCTAACTAAAAATTTAAGTTCTGACATGTCAGAATAAAGAACAGCCGAAAGTCCCGTGTACTTTCATTCAATTTACACATGACTTTTGGTTTAATTCCTATTCTGATACAGAATCTATAGATACATAAAGCGCATGAGTCAGCAAAAATTTACAACACTGCAATCTCACGACTTGTTACTGGGTATATTTCTTATAAAGCCTGTGTTCAGAGGACATTGTATAAGACTCTGTTCTTCTAAAGGAAGTCAAAAGATCTCGTTAAATTCTGTTTCTTCTATATGATAGTTTTGTTGAAAATGTTCCTTGTCCCCTCCCCCATTTTAAAAAGAAATACTTTATTGGGAAAACCGTCAGCTCCTTTATGGACTAAAGCTGTGACTCGATTTCTGTATCAGGTTTCCACCCTGTCCCTTGCAAACATAAAAACTTGCAGGGAAGCAAGGGGAGGGGATCAAATGTCGTCCAATCAGCATGAAGCTGTTTGGTCTTGGGCGGGTCCCCCGCTAGTAGCCCCAGCAGTCCATCACAGAGACCCCACCCCCAGCAAACCCCTGTCTTCAGTGGCTCCTGGAAAGAGCCCAGTCCAGAAGAATTCAGAAAATTCAAATACACAATAGCTTTGAAAACTAATGCTCAGATTTTCTTTCCACAAGGGTGTAAAACCTGGTTGTGAATATCATTACTTTAGCTAGTGACAGAATTGTGTAGGCACCTACAACTAGTATTAGAGAAAGGAAATCACATCAGTGCCATCCATCTGGCAAATTTTCTCTACTTGGTTTCGGTCTGATCCAGTTTTTTTCACCAGCTGGAAGAGCTGAGAACCCTGCTGTCTCCGTTTCAGGATTTCCATTACCTACGCCCTGGGGAAATGGCATCAGAATGGCGCAAACACGATTCAAGCCAGTCTTGCTTAAATGAAGGCGAAATTGTAAATGAGAGAAGAAATAGTGCTTGCTTATCAACTCACTGCATGTTGAAGAATCCATTTCCAAAATGTCATTTAGCTGTGAGGTTCGAGGCAGACAGCTGGAGGCGACCTGTCCATTTTGGTCCCTGGACACTGCTGTTGCAACAGGGAGGAGATACAGAAGAGGTTTGGGAGTGAGTGGAGAGCCTTTCTGAATTCTAAATGGTCCCCAGGAAATGACAACTGCCAAGGATGAAAAGTCCCCAACTTCTATTCTGGGAAGAGCGCTGTCCCCATTCTAAGGGCAGGGCAAGGGCAGTTATCAGCTGAAGTTTGGTGACGTATTTTAAAAACACCTTTAGCTAAAACAAAGAGCCAACAAACCACTCAAAAACAGAGACGTTAGGATAGAGATCCCAAATGTTTCTTGGACAAGATTATGAGAACTCCCCAGGGCCCACCCCTGGCAGCTACCACGGGGCGGGGCCTCATGGCACCAACAGAGAGCACGGGAGAACCAGCGAGAGGCAGGCTGCCCCTGCAAACTTCCAGAACAGCGAGCAGAGCAGGGTGCCTCCCCCTGTTCCTTGATCACTCTCATCTCAGAAGTTTTACTGGCCCCTCGGCTATGTTTTCACCGTTCCCCAACTCCTATGGCTTTTCAATGAAGACACCCAGGTCCTTTTATTATTTTTCAGCCCAACTAGAGTCATGACTGTCCCTTTCTACTCCCATCACAGTGTCCGAGCCTCCAGGAGTCAGGCCCAGACTGTCTGAGTTACACTGACTTATTAAGCTGCCTTTTACCTGGTCTCAAGGGCTGCAGCTAATGGTTTGAACTCACAGTTTTAGCTCAATGAGTCATTAAGACTGTTTGGGGCTGATTACCAAATGACTAATTTGAACGGGTGTGAGGAAATGGGATGTGAGAGTCATCATCAAACATCTGAAGGGCAGTCCTGTGGCAGAGGTAGTACATGTAATCTGCGTTTGCTCCAAAGAACTGTTTCTAATGAGGGAGTTAAAAAAAAAAAAAAAAAACTATATTCAAGTTTACATTATGAGATCGAGCTTGTAAATAAAATACTGGCAGAAATGGGATCAGGTAGTGAGCTCGCCAGCCCCGAACATTCCGGCAGAAGCTGGATAACCGGCATTCACTACACACACAGCTGATACTGGTTCTCCAGATCTTTCCACATCTGAGACCTCACTGTCCCTTGTCTCTCATCTGTCCCCCAAAAGCCATCCTGCCCCTGGCTGTTTACTTCCTCTTCCAGAAGGGCCATGGTGTGAACATCACTTCTGTTCTAGCACGGAATGGTTCCCTCTGCCAACAGCTGTGCTTCATACGGGCTGAGCAGAAAATTTTTAAAACAAAAATCCAGCTTCCTAGTTCCTACCCTAGATCTGCCGAATTAATTCACTGTTGGTGAGGTCCTTAAAAGGGTTTTTTTAAAAAAATCTGCAATTTACAAAAAAAATAATAAATGCTAATAGTAACACATTTGAACACATTAAGAATAAAGCAAAAACTCGAAGTTTCTTTCCTGTACTTTTTGTACTGCAACTTATTAATGTAATGTATTTTAAAGCCCCAAAGGTGATTCTTATTAGTTTAAATCAGTATTTATTTGCTGAATTTGTATTAAGAGTACAATTTTAAAAAGGTACAAAAGGTATAAACAAAAATTCTTCCGTTCTAACCCCAAGCACCGAGTTCTTTACCCAGGAGGTGAGCCCAGCAGTAGAGTTTCCAGGTGATTCTGCTGGGTAGCCAGGTTGGCAGACAGGATGTGGCCCACTTCCTGAGCCTGGCACTGAAAGTCCCTACCCTCTGTCTTCTCCAGTGACATCTCTAAGTATCCTGTACATGAGCTCTCTCCAGCTGGTCTAACAATCCCCACGGCAGGCAACTTTCTGCCATTGATTAATTACATCTAACAAGTTCTGTCCTGTATGAGCAGGGTTCATGGAGGCTGTGGTTGGGGAACCCACAAGAATCATAAAGGAAAATTCTGTGTGTCTATGTGCATGTGTATGTGCATATTTCTGGGAAGAGTCCCAGGCCCACAAACCATCAATGGCTAGAAAATGGTGCACTGGAACAAAATTAAAGACTACCTGGTCTATAATGCTGTCATTTTACAAACGAGGAAACTGAAGACCAGTCATCAATTCTGAATAAATCCATGACTCTGGCCAACTTTACTTAAATGCCTGTGTTCATTTACCATAAGGCTGGAACTCAGGGCTCCTGCCACCTAGTCTGGGATCCCACACCACACCGTGAAATCCTCCCTCTGAAGTGTGCTCCCAGTTGCTCCAAGCCTGTCCTTCTTCTTCTTCTTTTTTTTTTTTTTAAAGACCTGGTAATTAGAAACCTGGTCCCCACCTGGTAACAGCCATGTACTCATGTCTTCTTTTAAAGTAACAGTTTCATTGAGATAGAACCCATATGCCATAAAATTCACTCCTCAAAGTGTACAGTTCAGTGTTCTTAGTGTGTTCAGAGTTGCACGACCATCACCACTAACTCTAGAACATTTCCGTCACCCCAGACTCGCCATCAGTAGTCACCCTCCCAACCCTATGAGACTGCTAACCTACTTTTTGTGTCTACGGATTTGCCTCTTCTACACATTCCATACGAATAACATCACAGGATATGTGTCCTTTGATGTCTGGCTCCTTTGACTTAGCACAGAGATTTCAAAGTTCCTCCAATTTCCAGCATAAATAAGTACTTAATTCCTTCTTATTGCCTACTAAGTTTTCACCGTGTGGATCTGACGGCTCTCCAGGCTGTTTACACTTCCTGGCTATTATGGTAGCGACGCTGTGACTTTCCTGAACGGGTTTTGGACGGACGTGTTTCCCATCTCCCAGGTACGCAACTGCCGGGTCACATGACCACTTCGTGTTTGACCTTCTGAGAACCTGCCGAACTATTTCCCAAAGTGGCTGCCACTTCGCACAACATGCAGCACCATCCCCATTTCTCTCGGACCCTCGTCAACACTCACTGTGTTCGATTACAGTCACGCTAGTATCTCATTCTGTCTTTGTATTTTTACATTTTTTTTCCTCATGTGGTTTTGGTTTGTATGGCTCTAGTGACTGATGAGGTTAAGCGTCTTTTCGTGTGTGTACTGTGGCCATTTGTACCTTCGTTGGAGAACGGTATATTCAAATCCTTTGCCCATTTAAAACTGTGCTAATATCATTTTATAGGACATGGCTATTCAGCTACAATTTAAGTTTGGGGACCATGGATTTTAGCAGTAGCCACTGTCCAGAAGATCCTGTTTTCTAGAAAATAGTAAGAATTTCCTCCTCACTGGTAATAAAAATTTGACACTAAGCAAAATTTTTATTTTTTAAAAAGATTTATTTGGGGGAGAGCATGAGTGTGGGGAGGGCAGAGGGAGACGGAGAATCTCAGGCAGACTCCCCACTGAGCACAGAGCCCACTGCGGGGCTGGATCCCGGCGCCCCGAGATCACCACCTGGGCCCAAATCAAGAGTCAGACACTTAACCGACTGAGCCACCCAGGTGCCCCCCTGCCATTTTAAAAATTTTAAATAAATGACCTGTCCCTGGCAGACTCTTATGTGTTTCCTACTTCCTGGTGCCTCCATTCTAGGCCCTGAGACACAAACAAATGGCAAGCGCCTCCAATCAAACATCAAAATGCCGTTTTCCTAATTACAGCTGATTATCTCCCAGTGTTAAGAGCGAACGACTGATTTCACTTATACACCCTGATCAAGAAAGTGACAAATCCATAGCCGTTTACCTTTTGAAAAATGGATGATTAGCCAAATTATCTCTCATTGGTGAAATTTAGGAAACTTATAAAAACAGGCAGCGTGGTGGGAAGACCCAGCGGGAAGAAGACAGAAGGGGAAACTTCTGCTGCAGTTTCCTCCTTTTTCCTATTTTTTCTAAAGCCACAGCTTCCCTAACAGCCTCAAGCATCGGTTCTGTCTAGAGGAGGGGGGAGTGTGAGAGGGTCCCGGGCAGGCAGCAGCTCCCCTGCTTACTGCCTCTTGTGAGCCACTGGGAAATATTTGCTTTGTGCAAAAAGAGAAATTCCCCTCCCTCCTTCCCCGGGGGCAGGGAGCTGTCCGGGACCCAAATCTAGAGCCCGAGAGCTAATGACGAGTTTCAGAAGTACGTATAATTCAATGCCGAGGCGTCTAACCTACATTTCAACTTTTCAAATGTGTGAATTACAGAAGCCAGGCACACAGCGACATTATTCACAGACGCCCAGAAGTGGACACAGCCTCAGCGCTCATCAGCTGATGACGAATGGATAAATTTCAGAGTGGAAGGTCTCTGCAGTGGACCACTGGCCATCGGATGGATGACACGCTGATGTGCGGACGAGCCTCAGAACATCGCGCCACGTGAAAGAAGTCAGACACAAAAGACCAGAGGATGTGATTCCATTTATACGACATTTCCTGAACTGACAAATCTATAGTGACAGGACGTTGATCCGAGGTGGCCAGGGGCTGGGGGGCGGGGAGGGGAAATGGGGAGTGACTGCAAATGCATAGAGGGTTTCTTCTGGGCACTAAAACCGTTCTAGAATTGATTACAGTGATGGTTGCACAACTCCGTGAATATATATGTATTTTAACATATGGCAACTTAATACCATAAAATCATATGGCATGTGAATTATTTATCAGTAAGACTGTTACTAAAAAAAGGTTAATCCATATACAGTAAAAAAAAAAAAAGATTGGAATGATGCAAAATGTAGTAAAATAAAAATTCATTGTAACTGTATTTGATTAAAGAATTCTAAGTAATTTAGGTTTTCACAGTTGATGCCACTGCAAGTCCGGCACCAAAACCTGACAGTTACAGTGACTCTGCTTGCGCTACTTTGCTATGCTGTTGTTTTGAGGACCAGCTGGTAGTGAAGCACACATTTTTACCAAAAGAAACTAGAAGCGCTTTGGGAGCAAATCATATTCTCATATTAAGGAGGTTAACCAGGACCATGGAACCAGGGAATAAAACAGAATTACACAGCATGGGTGAGAGTTTTCTTGATCGGAGTTTTTTAAAACAAACATACAAACAAACAAAAAACAAGTCCCAGCAACCAATGAAAGGGCGACCAGTGGTCACCTTTTAGCTGAGCATTGACGTGAATGACGGACACCTTGGGAATTTACTTGCAACAGCAGAGCACACTGAGTGACGGGTCTGTGACAGCACGAAGAGAAAGGCACTCACGGACACTCACCTTTCCTGTACGCATGTCCGGCATGTTCTAAAGCATCATTTGTCTCTTTCTGTAGAAAGCACTTTCTGGATGCATCTGCGAGAGCCGAAGCTTTCTTTTCTGATTTCAAATGAAAGTCTTTTTCTTTAGCTTCCTCCCACTAAATGAAATAAATGAAAGAAAAGAAAAATCACCTAAAAGTTGGGGTCATGGCGGTTCCAACAGCGGAATAAGCCCCGTCTGTCTTCTCTACCCCACTTCCTTTGGGATTCCCACGGCATGCAGGATCTGTCTGGTTTTAGGGTAATCTGAGTGCCTGCCTTGGACCTCGAGGGTAGAGGCACTTCTCACGTGCCATCCAGGAGGATGTCAGCGGACCACACGGCACACAGACAGGAGTCCACTGTCTTTGAAATAACAAGTCCTTTCAATACATGTCAGATCTTGTGGGATTAAGCTCTTTTTAAAATACATGACAACTGTCTTATTTAATTTGAACCTATCCCTTAATAAAATCTGCCTAGCTCCAGTACACATGCTGACTACAGGGACATCAAGGAATTTCTATGAACCCCAACTTTCTTTTTCCTAAAGTGAGAAAGTGATTATCTTGAAATTGGCCCATGGGTAACAAAAATAATGCAGTTAAGATATCCTACAACTCCTGAAGTTCGTCAGTGTTCTATGCTACAACTCTTGCATCCAAACACACATATAATTTTTGTTATAAAAATGCTAATGCATGAAATAACAAAGCTTTAAAGAATCGTTAGGGCCAAGAAGGACCACAGAAATCCAGTACTTTCCTGTTACTGAGGAGGAGAGAGAGTCTGAATGATTTCAAGACCACACAGTAGTCAAGCTTTAGAACCCGGGACAACAGATACAAAGAAGCACCTCTGTGTACCAGGAAAAGCCCTCACAGTGATTCTGAGCCCACTCGCAAATACACCATTTCACCCCACTTCCAGCAACACCTGACATGGCACAGTCCGGGGCCAATGTCAGGAATCCTTGAAGATGTGGGCCTCCACCATGACTTTCCTGGGGAGCCTCAGCGGACATCGCCCCCACTGCTCCCTGTCCTTGACCCAAAGTGTGATCAGACAGGGCCACGTGTCCTTTAGCTGGGGTAGCAGGGAAATGAATAGAAGAGTGACCTGAAGGAAATACATTATAAAAAGCTTTCAGAAGAGACATCACAACAGAGCAGCGTGAAGAGGAAGGAACTAGGCCCAGTGCTCTGGTTCCTGATCTCTCCCTAGTTCTTCTGTGTCCTCAGGGAACTCTGCGTGTCTATGACAAGATCTGCAGCGTATGAGCACCAGAGACGCTCATGGGGAGGGGACATCTGTGTGACGGGACATAAACTCTTAGTTGGCTCCTCAAATCCTTTCGTTCTTTAGGAAAAGAATTCTAATTTTTGTCATTTGATCATGTAAACTTTCAAAAAAAATTTTTTTTAAAGATTTTATTTATTATGACGGAGAGAGATCACAAGTAGGCAGAGAGGCAGGCAGAGAGAGAGAGGAGAAGCAGACTCCCTGCTGAGCAGAGAGCCCAATGCGGGACTCAATCTCAGGACCCTGGGAGCATGACCTGAGCCGAAGGCAGAAGCTTTAACCCACTGAGCCACCCAGGCGCCCCTAAACTTTCAAAATTTAAATGAGTAACAAAAAAATGTGTGACACTATTCTTACCTTTCTAGCTTCCTCCCCCATCATCGCATCTAATACTTCTGTTTCAGTCCTTCTGTTTTCCCGAAGGAGTCTGGCCACTTCCCGGTAACACTCGTGGCGCTGCAGATCGTCACATCTTTGTTTACGTAGAGCCTCAATTCGCCAGTCGGCATTCAGACACGCTTGTTCAGCTTCTGCCAAATTTTCTTCAATTAACTAAGAAATATTTGCTAATTTCAGAAACAAGGTCAGACTCTATATAAAATACAGTATATCTGTTCAGTGCATCCACATGTCTAGGGTGTTTTTTTTTTTTTTTTCTTTAAGATTTATTTATTTATTGGAGAGAGAGAGAAAGAAAGAGCTCGCGGCAGGAGGGGCAGAGGGAGAGAGAATCTTAAGCAGACTTGGAGCGGAGCCCGGGCCAGGGCTTGATCTCATGACCAAGAGATCAGGACCTGAGCTGAAACCAAGAGTCGACCTTTAACTGACTGAGCCACCCAAGTGCCCCCAGGGTAGCTGTTTGTAACCCTGGTTGCACATTAGAATCACCTGTGTTTAAAACAAACTGTGGTGTCCAGGACCAAACACAAATGAATATATCAATCCCTGGGGTGGCAGGATATTGGAACTGTTTTTTTTGAAGATTTATTTATTTGACACAGAGAGAGGGAGAACAAGCAGGGGGAGAAGTAGGCAGAGGGAGAGGGAGAAGGAGGCTCCCCACTGAGCAGGGAGCCCGATGCGGGGCTTGATCCCAGAACCCTGGAATCGTAACCTTGGCCAAAGGCGGACGCTTAACCCACTGAGCCACCCAGGCGCCCCAAGGATGTTGGAACTTTCACAAAGGTAGTTCTAAGGCATACATTGTCAAGGTTGGGAATTTTGAGGCTAAGCAATGAGTGAGATTAAACAATCTCCATCTTTCAACCTTTTGAAAAGGAGTCAGAAGCTCGTTCTTACAGACTGGACAAAAGCCTTCAAGGAAAAATAAATGGTAGGCTCTGGGGGGACCCCCTAAGGGACTGTTGTTGAACAGAAGGGAGGGAGATCTTACACTATTCCTGACTTTTGGACCAGGGCCAGGCCTGGCCGCAGACCCAGTTAGCATTTTGCTAACTGGGTAACAGAACAAGTTCTTTCCTGAAGCTCCCACATTCTGTTTCAATTCACTTAAACCAGCGTTTCTGAAAGGGTGCTCCGCAGATACTCTAGAAAGTAAGTTTGGGAAATTTTCTTAAAGAGTCACAATGTACCATATCCTCAAATGTGGCAGGGGAAAAAACTATCTTTAAATAGCACTTCCAACACTTACTTGCCATTCCCCTTTTTAATGAGTAATAGTTATTAATATTCTACAGAATATACTTTGGAAATGCTGGCTTATATACCTGGCAAAGACCTGGTGTTTTGCAACTAATCTGCTCAGGGACAATTTCTGAGACAGAACATAGTAGATCAGTACCTCTAAAGTTACCATTTCCCTTGTATTTTCTCCTAAGTCTTTAAATTCTCAGAGAGTATAAAAGATACATGTGATGTGAGTAACCTCTAAAACTAATGTGAGATTCTAGGAACTGTGATCACTGAAGCAAAGAAATCAATTAATGCAGGTTTTAAGTTTAATCTTGAATTTCTTCTTTTAAAAGGACGACAGAAGCAGAGGGGCAGGGCAGGGGAAAAGAAATGCTTCATAAAAGGATGACAGATGGAAATGTCCCCCTCTCTATATATACTAAATTTCCCATTATTTTTACCTTTTGAGTTTTCTGGTTCTGAGTTTGATCTGTTTCTATCAGTTTATGAAACATGTGTTCTTCAAGATCCACTTTTCGTCTAAAGGCATCTGCATCTTCTCTCATTTCTTTTGCAACAGCTTCCTGATTTCTAGTAAGATTCTGTTAAAAAAAAATCAATTGTAAAAGAAAAAATCACAAATCTCTCTAATAATGCTAGACACAAAATGGCACTTTTTTTTCCCTAGAATACTAGCACATAAAAAACTGTCATCTGATTTTCAAAGTAAAAAGTAAACAGCAGTGACGTCACTCAAAACACAAGAAAGGACCCCTGAAAATTCTCTCATCCAAAAAAGTATTGAGAACATGGCATGACCAACTTTTTCAGAACTCTGGAAATTCACCAAAGGCCTGTAGCAATTTGGGAAGCATTTACTCATAAAAATGGCTGAATCTTGGTAAGAAGAGTAACCCTTAGGGCATTTTTAACTTGCACTATTGCAAGTTTCACCCCACCCCTAAACTCTTCATTAGGCTTGAAAACCAGTAGCCTGGCAGCCAGTGGGAGGGGGAAAAATGGAGTTGGAAAAGTAGAAAACTCCCATTCCCAGATGATTGTCACTACTTGACCTATGTGGTGGTTCTGAAAGAACCCATTCCCAAGGCTGTCTTTATTTATCCTCAGAACTCACTCCTTTGAACAGCCTTTTCCCTGGGGACATTTGCTGAAAAACATCAGAGCAAACTCTTGAGTATCTTGGCTGCCTGAGGCAGCGGACCACAGTGCAAACCACAAGTTAATCAAAAGGCTTTATAGGAAAAGTTGGAGAATTAGATGTCTTCAGGGGACTCTGAAAAGCTCTGATAGATTCCTGGAACCCTAAAAGTCTATGTGCATGTGTAAGGCTGTGCACTTAGCAAGGGCTATGTGAATGCTCAGATCCGAGAAGGTCCTGAGCTGTCCAGTCTGGTGAACTGAGGTTCTGCACGGTCAGGAGGCGAAGTGTAAGACAGAGCTGTAAACTACGGAGCTAAGTGCTGAAGGCACGCCCCAACGTAAAGCACAACGTAATGCACACACTGGCCAAGACTAGAAGCTTACTGGTTCAAGGCAAGTATGGAAATCTCTGTCTGGTTACGACTTTAATTTAGTTCCACAAATTAATCTTTACAGAATTAATTCAGACAAGCCACTAAGTAAAGAGACAAGAAAACCCTGAGGCAGGGGGAGAATCTGATTTTCAGAACTGCCACACTTCACTATTTAAATATCTAGTTTTCAACAAAAAAATTACACAAGATATTAAAAAACAAAAGTATGGCTCTACGTACTCTGAGTAGACATTAACCACATGTTCTCCAAAGAAGATACAAGAATAGCCAATAAGTATATGAAAGCATCACCAGGTGGACTAGCACCATTAACCATTAGAAAAAAAGCAAATCAAAACCACAAGATACCACTTCACGCTCAGTCGTAATGGCGATAATCAAAGCACAGATTATAACGATTGTTCACAAGGATGTGGAGAAATCAGAACTCTACACTCCTAGGTACAAATCTAAGAAAACTGAAAATATATGTTCAAACAAAAAGTTGTACATGAATGTTCCCAGCAGTACAAGTCATCAGAGCCAAAAGGTGGAAACACCCCAAATATCTACCAATTGATATTTGGATAAACAAAATGTGGTCTCATCCTTACAATGGAATATTATTCAGCCACAAAAAGTAAGGAAGGACTCACTCATACCGCTACAGGGATAAACCTTGAACACACGATGCTATGTCAAAGACGCCAGGCACAAAAAACTATACATTGTATGATTTCATTTAAACGGAATGTCAGAATAGGCAAATCCATCAAGACAGTATATAAGTGGTTGCCAGGGTCAGGGGACTGGGGATGGGAGTGCTAATGAGTACAGTGGTTGAAGAGAAGGAGAGCAAACCGTATTCATGAAAATTTAAGTTAAAAAAGCAAAATATCAATTGTGTGTACTAAATAAGCTCACTTATCCTTATTAATGATATTAGTAGTTACTTCTCAATTTAGGGATTTCTACTTTTCTCATGATCTACTGGTAACATAATTACCTTCATAGTGAAAAATAAAAACGTTTTCCAATTATATGCAGAGAAGATATACGGATGAAGAAGCTTATTGCCACAGACTGTAACCCGCTTAAACATCCGACAATAGAAAAAAATGTGTAAGTAAGTTACGGTTCATCAATATCTATTACGAATGACAACTACCAAGATAGGTAGTCCTTTACAAAAAGGATTTAAGTAAAAAAGAAAAGCAGAATATAGAATTTTAGCTACTCCATAAAGAGGCGCACATTCCAACAAAAAGATTAGCCCTTGACCAGCTCTAACCCCTGGAATCCCCTGCCTGATAAGAGTGTCTCGGTAGGCCCAGGCCCTTGGGCTCTGCCAGGTAGTTCGTGCTAATCACGTGACTTCTGGTAGGAGCCGCAGGACGCACCGTATCAGCCTGACCTCTCAGAGCAAGTAACTACTGTGCACCCTGCATGCCTGCGGGACTGACGCCCGATAAAACCCTGGATGCTGAGACTCAAGTGAGCCTGCCTGTTGGCAAAACTCTCCACGCGCTCTCGTACATCTCTCCTGGCAAAATCAGGTGCCGTTTGACTCCACTGGGAGAGGACAAGGGGAAGCTTGTGCTGGTCTCTCCTGGGTTCTGCCCTATGTGCCTTTTACCTTCGCCGAGGAGTTCTGTTGTTGCTGTTTAAGTAATCTCTACACGCATCATGGGGCTCAAACTCATGAGAGATCAAGAGAGATCAAGAGTTATGGGCTCCACTGACTGAGCCAGCTGGGCTACCAGCCCCCTACCTTCCCTGAGTTTACTCTGTATCCCTTCGATGTAATAAACTATGAGTGTAACAGCTTTTCCTGAGCTCTGTGAGTCCTTCTAGCAAATCACTGGACCAGAGGGTAGTCTTGGGGCCTCCTGTCACTGACATACAGACATTAACTCATTTAATCATCACAGTCATGGCAAGGGTGGTCCTAGGCCAAGGAGAAGGTACATGTGCCTGAAAGAGAGATGGAGACAGAGGCCGAAACTGGACTTGAGGAAACAGGGTTCCAGGAGACGAAGGGGATGGAATCTGGATCAGAGGTCAGTATGTGCTTATTTGTTTGTGCTTCATTTTATTCTTTTGTTAAAAAAAATTTTATTCAAATTAGATATATATGGACTATTGGGCATATGTTTCCAATAGAGGTGATCACAGTATTGTCTGTTTTCTGGGATATAATTTGTTTACAAATAGATGCAGTTAATCAAACTGATGTTGAGAGCTAAGTTTGGCAGATAAAATATTAATCACTAAAACTGATGGAAAAGCCAGGAGTTGCACATCTGAATCTAACAGACCTGATAATGTTCAGGAATTTATAAGTTAGTTTTGTTAAGCAGGCTTGGTCTTCTCTAACCTGTTTGCTTAATAAATACTTTCCTCAGAAGAGGGCAAAAATAACGATCCACAGAAAGAAACTCGGCATTGCTTCTGGGGCACTCCTGCCCAAAGCACGTAAGCTGAATCTCACCGTGAGGAAACAACAGACAAATGCTGACTGAGGAACACTACAAAACACCTGGCCGGATTCTTCAAAAATATCAATGTTATAAAATACAAAGACAGACTCAGGAGTGGTGCCAACATAAAGGAGACTAAAGAGACATGACAACTGAGAAAATGATTATCTGAGATTTTCTTTTGCTCTAAAGGACAGTTTTACCACAACTGATAACATCTGAATAAGGCTTGTACATTGGATAACAATAATGTGCTCATTTCATGATTTTGATCATTGTTCTGTGGTCATGTGATAAGGATTCCTCGGTTTTAGGAAATATATGCTGAAGCATTTAGGGGGAAAGGGGCATCAGGTTTGCAACTTTCTCTTAAAAAGTTCAGAAAAAAAATGTATCTACATGTGTCCAGGTACATACAGAGACAGAGAAGGTTAATGCCAATTTACCAACATGCTAATACCTGAGAATCTGAGAAAAACCTATTGAAAATTCTTAGTATTTTTCTTGCAAATTTTCTGTTGATTCTGACACCATGCCCCGTTGGTGCCACCACCTACCTCCGCCAAAGAAAAGACAGTAAAAAGTAATCTTAGGTTTGGTCCAAATGAATTGAATCTAATTCAAAATCACAGGAGACTGAGCCGCAGTGTAAGTCCCTGGCTCAGTTCTAGAAGTAGTTCAGTGTGGAACTTAAAAAGTGTTGCAGATATGAATGGATTCCATAGGTTTTAAATCTTATTTAATGTAAGTAATAATCATATGTTACCTGTTACATACTTGCAGTTATCACTAATTTCGAAGTCTCACTTTAAAAGAGGGCTGAAGGAAGTGAAAACTTATGGTTTCAACGTTAAATAAATGAAGAACAAAATGCTTTTTCCAAATAATAAATATTTATATTAACAAAATTCCTTTTTCCAGCATCGTGGAAGCTAAATTATATATTCTAAGTAGGTCCTTGATAATTTATTTCCAGCAGATTCAAATTTAAAGTCCTTTACAGCTCTTATCTGATTTACCTTACTTACAAAGATCCTTATCAAGTACTGGGCTAATTTTGTACTCACTATCACACGGATACAGGAAAACTTAGTAACTTGGTAGAAAATCATGAAGCAAAATCTGGGGCTTACATCTGGTACCTCAGACACTAGACTAAGTCGCTAAGAGAAACATGAATTAAAGAATTACAACAAACTGTATGTTCAGACATTTTGGCTATCTTACAATCCTGGATGACACTATATTCTGCTTAAAAAAAAAACCCAGGGGAGCCGGGGTGGCTCAGTGAGTTACGCTTTGGCTCAGGTTGTGATCTCAGGGTCTTGGAATCGAGCCCTGCATCAGGCTCTCTGCTCAGCGGGGAACCTGCTTCCCCTCTCTCTGCCTGCTTCTCTGCCTACTTGTGATCTCTCTGTCAAATAAATAAAATCTTAAAAAAAAACCCACAAAAACCAAGAGATGATCATTAAAAGTCACGAATAAATACAATCTAAAAAGAGTTTGTATGAGCCCTGCTTATCTCATGGTGCAAACAGGTGATTTATACCTTCTCAAAAAGTCTTTTTTGTGATTCGAGTTCCAGATGTCTAATTTCCAGGTCTTTCGCTGTAGTAGCAATTTCTCGATCTCTCATGTGTACCTACGGCCAAACAACAAAGTGTGAACACCAGAAACAATATACAAGATAATTTCTCTCAACAGATTTAGTAATCTTGTAATCTAAACAACCCACCCGGAGTATTTAAAATAAAAAGTATTGGGTTTTTGATACCAGAGTAATTGATGGCATGTTAACATTCACTGCAGAATCTAGGAATAAAGACGGAGTTAAAGTTAAAGCTTCATTTTCTAAAAAGGAAAGTACAATTACCATACGCTCATCTACCCAGGCTGCGAGAACAGATGGCAGTTCTTACCACGCTGTATCAGCCAATATTATGAGTCAGAAAAACTTGAGCAATTTAAATTTGTGGTGGTTAAAAATATAGCATGTTTAATCTTATTAAATATAATATTATTTAATGTTCTTTTTGATGAAATGACTCTACTTAAAGAAAATTCTTTTTAAAGATTTATTTATTTTCTTAGAGGGAGAGCAAGCGAGTGAGTGAGGGGGAAGGGCAGAGAGAGAGAGAGAGAATCTCAAGCAGATTCCCCACTGAGCACAGAGCCCGACACGGGGCTCGATCTCAGGATCCCGAGATCATGACGCAGCCAAAATCAAGAACCCGTCGCCCAGCCCATTGAGTCACCTAGACACCCCTAAATGACTATACTTCAATAAATTCAGTTTGGCAACTTGTAACTCCAAGTTCAATGTGCTCTGCTTGGACTCAGCTAATTTACCACTCTCCAAATTTTGATTACTTGGAAGCTTCTCACTCTTATACACTAGAGGGTTCGACTAAGGCCCTCTCTAAGGAGACAGAGAATCTTAGGAGCGGTCTTAAATACTTGGCTGCCTAGAGTCCCCATTTTGTAGGAGCGACATGTGTTTCAGGAATAGAACAAAACAAACTATAACCCCATCTTACCCCATTCATTTATTCAGCACACATATAGCGACTGCACACTATTTGCATCCGTTAAGTATCAGACATTGTAAAGATCAGAGATCACAGGATCGAATACCTATCTCTGGAGAAACGAAGAGTAAAGATGAAAATACAGTGGGATGCACAAGAAGGACAAACACCTGAGAAGTGAAGTAAACCACTGACTGGCAACCAGTGCAACTTAAGGAGGTTACTGGGAGAGCAGCTAGCTCCAAGCGGGGATGCTCAGTCCAGGAAATGAGGGTAGTAAAAATGCCAGTGGGCAGAGGAGAGGTTTGGCACCGTTCATCATGCTGTTCTGGACTTTTAATGGATTTTTAGACACGCACACAGCTTAATGCCAGGGCAAACCCAGCTCAGCTCCGCTGCCCGCTAATGGATGTGCGCTCACTCGTGCGTGTCAGCCTTCCTGCTGGTGCCTGCGCTGTGAGGAGAAAAGCTCTGGCAGTTGAGCAGGTCAGAGCTGACTATCAGAATAGGGAGATGAAGGACGGGAGGCTGGAAGGGTAAGCAGAAGCCAGGTCACGCGAACTGAAAGGACTTTACAGGATTCTTTGACCCAAAAAAAAAAAAAAAAAAAAAAAAATGCTTCTATCTCAAAGAGTTCGGAATCAAGAGGTCAGAGTTCTAAGCCTGTATTACTCTGGGAGAAGAACATATGCTTTTCTAGAATAATGAATTATCAGCCTCATTTACTCAGTGAGATAGTGAAAAGGAATCACAGCTTTCAAAAGCCGATTTAAAATTAACCGGCTTTAAACAAGACAAAAAGTATTATCTCGTGCTATAGCAGAGATGACAGATTTCTAATACAGATGAATTCAAAATACTTTCAAAGACTGAAAAAATACTTAGTGTTTTACCAAAACTAGGTTTAAAACTCCCTAAATTAGTCTATAAATTCCATGCAATTCTAATAAACATGCTGTTAGGATGGGGTGAGGCAGGGATTCAGAAAGCAAGAAAGATACGATTCTCCAAGTCTATTTGAGATGATACACATCTGAGAATACAGCAGAGAATGCAGAAAAGGCAAATTAATAGTGGGAATGAGGCCCAGCAGTGAGATGATGAAACTGTCGTTCAGGGGCCTGCCGGTATAGGAGCAGACAGCGCTAAGGAGGAGATAAGACATACACGGGAATTTAACACTGAATAAAAAATCAGTTGGCAAATGACTCTGTTAATCAACAAATGGGTGTGACCGTTCCAATAAAGCTGTATTTATGGATACTGAAATATGAATTTCATGTTTTTAAAAATGTCACATAATATTCATATCATGAAATTATTATTGTTGGAGTTCTTTCCACCATTTAAAGAGTCAAAACCAGGGGCCCCTGGCTGGCTCAGTTGGTTAGGTGGCTGACTCGTGATTTTTGGCTCAGGTCATGATCTCAAGGGTCATGGGATTGAGCCCCGTGTGGGGCTCTGAGCTCAGCAGGGGTTCCGCTTGTGATTCTCTCCCTCTGCCCCTACCTCCACTGACACTCTCTCTATAAAATAAACTGTAAAAAAAAAAAATTGATGAGTAAAAATTGAGGAGTACTGTAAGTATAAACTGACTACTAGATTTCCAAGATTTAGTATAAGCAAAGCGTAAAACATCTCATTCATGATGTCTTTATACTAATTACGTATTTAAAAAATTGGGAAATATATTGAGTTAAACAAAATGCTATTAAAATTAGTATCTTTATTTTTAACACATGGCTGTTAGAAAACAAAATTGCCTACATGGCTCACATCATATTTCCACTGGATATTGCTGCCCCAAATGGCACAAACAGCCCACGTTAAGTTGGTAAGAAAAAACGTGACAGAAAACTGACAAATGATACGGATGTACAATTTACAGTTCTTGTACAAATGGAAGGTAAGTAACCGGAGAGATACTTAACCTCACCAGCAAGAAAAAAAAAAGACAAATTAAAATATACAACTTCCACCTATGAGACTGGCAAATATTAAGACTGATGTACTCCCAAACTGACTAGGGTATAAGCACTCTTCTATATACACTTAAAATAATAACTCAGATGGGTTCATTTTTGGAGAACAATTTGGCAGATCTTGGAGTGTACTCAAAAAATGACATGTGCAAGTCCTCAAGGATCTGCGCTCAGACTGTATAACCTGGCACCGTCTCATATAGCAAAGTAGTGCTTTGCTATATGTCCGACAGCAAAGAGTCACTAAATAAACCATAACACATTCACACGATGGAATACTATGCAGCTGTAAAAAGGGAAAAAAGCGCTATCATCATTTTTTTCAGTTTATTTTGGGGATGAAATGAGAGAAGAGTAGGGAAGGTCCATTTTTGACTCCATGTATTTTATAATGGAAATTTTCTGATACTGGCCAGGTGCAAATTTTTATAGGAAAAGAGCATTTCCCCTACTTCACAGTTAATGGTTCACTCATACTTCTATTTTTAGAGAAACAGTCACCAAGGACACTGGTCAAACTGACTCATTTTCTTGGCATTTCTAAAATGTTTAGCTATCAAGGAAATTAGAAAGGGAAGAGGAAAGGCTGAGGCCAGTTAGTGTTCCCTGCAAATTCCAGCGAGGACACTGAAGTTGAAGGTAGGAGAGTAAATGGAGCAAATGGAGACCCTGTGTGAGCACTAAGACACGGATTGTAAACCTTTCTCTCGATTTCGTCATCCAGTCGTCTTAGTTCCATTTCACGCTGATCTTGCTGCATCTTGAGAAAGCGCCTTCTTGTAGCATCTTGTAAGTGCATTTCCTTGACTTGCAGCTCTCTTTTCACAGAAGCAAGTCTAAAATACAAAATACATCAAGAGGAACACACAGACACATTACCCCATAGAGAAGTAAGTGGAAAAATCGCACGTTTCACAACAGTGAGGGACCTGCCACTGACGAGGGCACACCTCCCCTAACCCCCCGGTTAGGCTGTGGCATCACACACGCGGGGCGAAGATGCCTGTGGCTCCCCTCGTGGAAAGGACAAGGGTCCACACCAACTGGCTCTTCTTTTCGTATTTAAAAGTTCCTAACAGGTCTACTCAGATCATCTCAGTACAATCAATACCCTGGATCTTTATTTAGTACAAGGCTAGTTAATGCTCAGTTCGGTAGTTGTGTTTTACCCGCAACAGAAATCAGTTTCATAAAATCCCAACCTAGAGTAAAACTCAGTAAACACTCACAGAAGTGAGCTTCCAACAATTAGGCTTAGTCTCCATGCTCATCCCGTAATCTTAATTAATTTAAATATTTTGCTATATTAACATATTTTTGAATAAGTACCGAATACTTCTTCTCCTGTCCTCCAAAGTATGAAATGCAAAACGAGATAATCATTTTATGCTTCAATTTTCAAGTCATACAGGTAAGTTTACAACACAATTCTAAAAATTCTGCTCCCCTAAAGGGGATTTTATCCAGCACTGTATTACAAAGCATTTCTGCCTACTGTACCATAATGTTTCCAATAATGTCCTCCAGGGTACATGAGGCTTGTCTTACTTCCGAATAATCAGTGCAAAGGTATACTCAGCATAGTTTCAGAATTACCTTGCACCATATGCCAATTCTTTGAAGTGTGGTAGATGCACTAGCTTAAATTTTTTTTTAGCTTAAATTTTTGCTAAATGGAAATGCCACAGCTGGGTGATGTTATGTATATAGAAAAGAAAGAAAGGAAAAATTATTCAACTAACGCACACGTCCAGATTTTCTCAAAGTGCTCACACACACCTCTGTCTTTGTTGCACCACCTTCTCCTCCTCCCGTAAGAGCAGCTCTCTCCTCGTTTCTTCGGCTTTTCGAAGCAGTTCTTGTTTTTGGTACCAAGCTTCGTCTTCAACTCTCTGCTGGTCTACCTCAGCTTGCATATCTTCAACCATCTGCCTGCAGTAGGGAAAACTTACTATTATATCCGGACACAGACAAGGCCCCAGTACGCGTATGTGATTATGAACAGGTAAATTGCTATTTGCCTTTCACTTTCAAATTTATCTCATGAAAGTTGTAGAAAGCACTGAGAAGGATGCTATATAAGTCTCCCCCAAAAAGTGCAAAGCAAAGAAATTCAAGCAAAGAAAAGTGAGTAATTTAAGTCTAAGAACAACCAAAACACAAAATGTACACCTGATTAATGTCATTGTTTTACTTCTACAAGCAGGAATTACACATCCTTAGATATTCCCAGCCTTCAAACTCTGATTTGACACAAATACTTAGTAATTTACATGTGCTTTTCATAAAAAAATATTGTCTGTATTTCTTTTTCTTTTTTTAAAGATTTTATTTATTTATTTGACAGACAGAGAGCATAAGTAGGCAGAGAGGCAGGCAGAGAGAGAGAGAGGAAGAAGCAGGCTCCCCGTGGAGCAGAGAGCCAGATGCAGGGCTCCATCCCAGGACCCTGGGATCATGACCCAAGCCGAAGGCAGAGGCTTTAACCCACTGAGCCACCCAGACGCCCCCTGTATATATTTCTAGCAGATTTTGCTCCTAGCACACACAGAGCAACTATCCATGATTACCTCTCCCTCAGGTAGTCCAACTCATCGTTCCTTATTCTTTCTCGCTCCTGTGTCTGATAGTCGACGATAAACTTGGGATATTGGTTAAAAACTGGATACTGCCCTTTCGTCAATGCCGCAAAGACGTGAAGCATGCTGCTGGGATGAACCTCGGTAGGAGTGGTATCCATGAGACGGTAGACTTCTCTAATGACAACACTTATATCCAGGTTATTCCGATGATGAAAAAAATACTGTAAGAAAACGCTGTGTTTAAATTGTGAGTTAGCTAACAAAGCAATTACAAGGTAGAATTAAAACAAGATTAGCTTAAAAAGTGTGAATTAATCTTATCTTTCTTTCTCGCTCTTCTTTCTTGGCAAATGCACTGGAGCTTTTCTTAAGCCAAGTTTTAAGATGAAGAGTCAATTTCATGTTTTCAAAGTCTAAAGAATTTCAAAACCAAACTTCTGAAATAATACTTTTTAAACTTTAACTCAAACCGAAGGCCTCCTTTGTACCAGAAGAACACTTTAACCAACAATGGAGCACACTCTTCTGCTCAGATTTTTTCCTTGCAAAATCCCAAATAAATAAATTTGAAAATAAATTAGCTTGATTCGTTAAAAATATCTGAAATGTTTCCACATTACCTTGTTCTGCTGGAAGGTCCAAATTCTAAAATATATATAGGTGAGCATCTTGAGAACATTAAGGAGAAATAAAGTTTGACAGGGGTGCTGGGTGGCTCAGTCTAAGTCTCCGACTCTTGATTTTGGCTCAGGTCATGATCTCGGGGTGGTGAGACTGAGCCCCTCAATGGGCTCCATGCTCAGTGGGGAGTCTGCTTGAGATTCCTTCTGTCCCTCTCCCTCTGCCCCTCCCCACCTACTCTCTCTCTCAAACAAATAAATCTTTAAAAAAAGAAAAACTAGGGGCACCTGGGTGGCTCAGTGGGTTAAAGCCTCTGCCTTCGGCTCAGGTCATGATCTCAGGGTCCTGGGATGGAGCCCTGCATCGGGCTCTCTGCTCAGCAGGGAGCCTGCTTCCTCCTCTCTCTCTGCCTGCCTCTCTGCCTGCTTGTGATCTCTCAGTCTCTCTCAAAAAAATTAAAAAATCTTAAAAAACAAAACTAAAAACCTTTAAAAAAAAAGTTTGTAAAAAAAGAAAAACTAAAAACCTTGAAAAAAAAAAAACAGAGTTTGACAGGAACCACAAAAGAAGTAACAAACCCAATTCATCCTATCCACCAAAAGAAAATCTCTTCTTATTTTTTTTTGAAGAGTCTATTTATTTATTTGAGAGACAGAGATGGAACATGCCCGAGCCGGGTGAGTGGCGAGTGACAAGCAGGACCCCCCCTCCGACTGAGTGTAGAGCCCGACTTGGGTGGGGCTCCATCCCAGGACCCTGAGATCATGACCTAAACCAACTGAGTCAGACACTTAACCAACTGACCCTGTCCTTTTAAAAACCTCCTTTAGCGCTTTCTTTCAAGTAACCTTCCTGCCACATCTCAGAATTCTCAGAGTAACCATTTCTTGTGGGTAACAGGCAGCCAGACTGTCACAGACTGGATGGGTCACTGATAAAACCACCCGCAGAATTAATGATGACTCAGCAGGTAAACATCCTAAAACAGGCAACAGGCACTGAACTCCAGTATTACCGCATTTCTCTCCTGAATCTACGACTTTAAGACAAATAGTGTGTGGGATGGCTCGATTTTTTACTGACCAACGAGGTCAGAGGGGGGATGTGGTATACCTTGCTCTCCACTGCATTTCTCCCACCTGGCACCACTACCGGGCATGCAACAGGTACTCAATAAATGCACTGATTCTTCAGTGGAAATAAATGAAAACTTGAGACCTGCTACTTAAGAACAAGGATATTTACCTCAAAATCATCTTTAAGACTGCAGTTGAGCAAAGGTGCTCTAGAACATATGTTGTAGGCCACGACAGTCATCAGGAGGAACGAAGGATGGTTGGAAAAGACATTATCAAATAATTTTAGCCACTCTTCTCTGGTTAGTACTTCTGAAAAAACGGTTTCAAGAAGAGGCCATGCATACAGCTAAAATAAATAAGGAAAAACTTATTAGTTTTCTATGGAAAAGTCGTAAGTCCTTGCTAATACTCTCTTACATTTGATGTAGCTGTTAAAATCATTATATTCAAAATGATTATGAAAAGAACTACCTTAATATGGACGCTTCTTTATAGACTTTTGGGAAAGCAGTTTAATGAAGAAGAAAATGAAATGCTATTAAAAATACAAGAGGTAGTATGTTCTTTTATTATATTCTTTCAAGAAAATTGTCTTATTTATACCCGAGCCAATGTTAGTTTCCAAAACAAGTCATGTTATCCTAAAAACCTCATACTTCTTACCTGGGAAGTTATGTCATGAGCTATGTAGTGCTGCAGCAGTTCTCTGTCGTGGAATGCCAGAACATTCTCTATCATACTGAGAATATTGATGGGAGGATTTGGGAAATATTCAAACCAGTGTTGACACCAATTGACTATGAAGAAAAAAATGGAAATTTATCTTTACCATTCTATATTATCCAAGGACTAGGCAATTCTTACATGTATCCACTCTAGGTCCTCAGTATGTCCATTAATAAAGAAATCATAACAACTCTTTGCGTTTTAGAACTTTTGATTTTAAACTTCCATCCTGTTAACATTGTATTTCAGGCTTATAGAACTGGCCAATTTCTTCAACTGAGCACAATCAATGAGAGTGTCCATTAAAACAAACAGAACTTTCCAGAGTTTTCCTGATCTTCCCCACAGGGCACTCTGCTTCCTTCTCCTGGTTAACAAAATGACCCTCCTACAAAAGGTTCCTTCTTAAGTCTTCATTAATTGTGATGAATGTTAAGTGATAACTTCCTGAAATCTACTCAAATTCATACCTAATCAAAACTAGAAAAGTTTACAAGAAATGTTCAAAATTACTTTTTTTTTTTTTTTTATACAGAGAGTGTGTGTGGGGGCAGTTGGAGGGTGGGAGAGGGAGAAAGAGAATCTTAAGCAGACTCCATGCCCAATGTGGAGCCCGATGTAGGGCTCTATATCATGACCCTGAGATCATGACCTGGGCTGAAACCAAGAGTAGGATGCTTAACTGGTAGCTCACTACCCAGGCACCCCCCAAATTATATCTTACACATCAACACAAACACATAAAAACAAACGGGCATGTATCATATCCCCCCCATCCATTAAATGTTAGAATAAACATGTTCCTATTACTAGGACAAGAGTGACTGCTCTACGGCCATAACAAGTAACCACCAGAATTAGTTTTAAATCTAAGCCATTGACAAACAACTTATTCAGTAAACCTAACTTTGAAAACCCAACCAGTGACTGAGGGATTCTCTGCAAGTCAGCCAGTGGAAAGTGGAATCCTTTCTGCTCATGATGTTTCTAAAGCTCGCATTAACTCACTGAGTAACCACTAGCACCCCCAAAACATTCCTCAAAAACCCTGGTGAGATCAGTTAGTTTCATTCAATGAACTATGTCTAATCACCATAGCCCTCCTTAATAATTCAGATTTTTATTTATTATTTTTTTTAAAGATTTTATTTATTTGACAGATACAGATCATAAGTAGGCAGAGAGGCAGGCAGAGAGAGAGAGGAGGAAGCAGGCTTCCTGCTGAGCAGAGAGCCTGATGCGGGACTCCATCCCAGGACCCTGGGATCATGACCCGAGCTGAAGGCAGAGGCTTTAACCCACTGAGCCACCCAGGCGCCTCTGGATTTTTATTCTAAACACTGAATTGTGGTTCTGTCCTTTGACAATATGATCTCCTTTCTCATATTAGCAAAAGAAGACTTAGATCGGCAGAATTTTGGATTATATCTGGTTATAAAAGGGCCTACAAGTTCTAGAAGTCAATTCTTTATTAGTAAGTAAATGTGAGTTAATAATTAAGGCATAAATAAACTCTTACAAAAACTAAGCTTTAAAAGAAATTATTTCAGTTCTTTAACTGCTGTTCTTAAGTTAACTTTAAAAGAAAAATCCAGTTCAGCAACATGTGCTGTGGGTCTACTGTGTCTCAGATACTGCTAGCCCTAGGAATTTTAAAACACCACACACACACACAACACACACACAACACACACACACACATACACACACAGGAAGCCCAGATTTTTACAACTAGTCTTCATTGAGAGAACACTGTTCTCAATTAGGCATGAGGGAAACCCCGCTTTATACGTAAGCGTTTGCCTTCTCTTCTATTCTGCGTGGTGTCACCGCAGGAGTGTGTGTAGAAGACCCAGACACAGGACTGAAGGCGAACAGGATAAAGACAAGTAACCCGGGCAGCAGGGGCGGGGGGGGGGGGGCGTGTTCCTTGATTAAACTGGAAGAACCCCCTCTTGGTCATACAAGAGACTGTAAAGAGCACATTAAGATGACTTTTATAAACACATTCCAAATTATACATCAAATGGACTATATTCCTTCAGACTTCCTCCCAGGTCCCAACTAGACCGTGAACCTAAAAAGCTGAACAGTGGTTTATTGCGAGCAGTGCTAACATTCAGTCGGAGGTCAGGAAGTGCTCCTTGAATAAAACCGGTTTGAGACCCTTGATGAAAATTCCCAGCTACTCATGCTGGCCATGACGGATCTCCTAGATTTAAATTGGGCCTAGAAGAGAAAATCAATTGCTTGGCACAGAACCATATGCCAGCGATATAACAAGATTTTACTGGAAATATAGTTTTGCATGCTTACCTAATTATGAACAGCTTTTCTTATGGTAAGATATCATTTGCCATTTTAACCATTTTTGAGCCTGCAAATCAGTGCCGTAACTGAATGCACAACGTTGTGCAACCATCACTATGTGCAAAATCTTTTCCCAAAGAGAAACCCTGTACCCATTTAGTACTAATCTCTCATTCCTACCTCCCCCAAGCCCTGGTAACCTCTAATCTATTTTCTGCGTCCATAAATTTGCCTATTTGAGATATTTTATATAAATTTGTTCTTTTGCGCCTAGCTTTCAGGGTCCACTCCCTTATACGTCTGAACCATATTCCACTGTATACTATACACACCATATACACAGTTTATCCATTCATCTGTTAACAGCGATGATACTTGGGCTGTTTCCACCTTCTGGCTGTTGGGGATAACGCCACCACCGACATTCAAATACAAGTATCTGTTTGAGTCTCTGTTTTTAGTTCTTTTGGGTATATCCCTAAGAATGCAATTGCTGGATTATATGGTAATTTTATGTTTAACTTTTTGAGAAATTGCCAATTTTCCACAGTGACCACCATTTTATGTTTCCAGCAATATATGAAGGTTAGAATTTTTCCACATTCTTATCAACACTTGTTTTTTTCCCTGTTTTTAAATTACAGCTAACCCAGAAGGTATAAAGTGGTACCTCAGTGTGGTTTTGATTTGCGTTTCCTAATGACTAATGATCTGGAGCATCTTTTCATGTACCATTAGACATTTGTGTATCGTCTATGGAGAAAAGTTTAATCAAAGCCTTTGCCCATATAAAAATGAGATTATTTGTCCTTTTGTTGTTGAGTTGCTTCTTTTCCTTTTAAAACTCCGAGTGTTGCTGCCAGAGTAAACTTGGAAAACCCTTTTGAGGAATCAATTAGAATATTTATATTTTATGACCTAATAATACCAATTCTAAGAACTGACCAAGAGACAATTATTATACATATTTATATGTGAAGACAGTTATAATATTGTTTCTTTAGGTTAAAGTTAGAAATAACCTAAATGTCCAACAACCAATTAAACTAGGACCTCTACATTATAGAATATTAGAGTCATGAAGGGGGAAAAGATTACAGTCAATAAGACATTTATAAAGTTTATAAAAAGAGAAATGTACCTAACATATTAAATAAAAGTAGTATAATCACAAAAATTTAAAAACTGCTTAAAAAGTACAGAAAAATTATTTAAAAAACTAATGGTCTAGTAGTCAGGGGACTAAATGATGATACACCTAAATGATGAAATATTATATTACGTGGGGAATAAATTACGTTTTTCAAGAATATTTAATGATTTGGGGAAATGCTTTTATAAGAAATTCATCAATACATTCTCAAAGATTATCAATGAGGAGGAGGAACATGGGTGAATTTTCTTTTCTTTTTTATGTTCTCCTATATTTTCTCCAATCAGTAAAAATTTATCAAAGCAAATGCAATGCAATTAAATGAACAAAAAAAAGGAGAAATATAGTATTCACAGTATGTATGCTTGAATCTTTTTATTTCTACTTCTCAAAATTTTATTGTAATTACAGTTAAGTGCTTATCTCTTTTGTACAAGAAAACCTTATAAAGCAATTTAAAATACATATAAAATTGGTTATTTTTGTTAAATAAATCTATAACTGGATTCAGTTTATTGACTGTTTAACTGACCCGATTATACCAATATGAAAAAAGGACTCACTTTTCAGGGTAGATGGCAAGCAGTAAACATAATGGTTGAGAGCACAGGCTATACAGTCTATCTGGGTTCAACTCCTTGTTCTGCCACCAACCTACCCTTGGGAACTTAAGCTCTGTGTGCCTCAGTTTCCTCAGTTATAAAAAACGAAATAACAATGCCCACCTCATAGGACTGTTAAAATTTAGATAAGTTAATAAAGACAAACATGGAGAATGGTATCTGGTACACAGAAAGTTCTCAAGAAATGTTCACCCTGACTGCTGAGAATAAGGACGGCAGTTAGCACCCGCTACAATAGGCACTGTGTGCTAAATCCTGCCTTACTACAATCCTATTAATAATAAACTGATTTTCAGTAAGTGAAGAAGCATCTGCTTCCTTATATTTTTTTTCCCTTAAAGATTTTATTTATTTGTGAGAAAGAACATGTGTGCACACACAAATGGAGATGGGAGCCAGACAAAGGCAGGATCCCAGGACCCTGAGATCATGATCTGAGAGAGATTCTTTTTTTTTTTTTTTTTTTACAGATTTTTATTTATTTGACAGATCACAAGTAGGCAGAGAGGCAGGCAGAGAGAGAGGAGGAGGAGGCAGGCTCCCCGCTGAGCAGAGAGCCCCATGTGAGGCTCGATCCCAGGACCCTGAGCCGGAGGAAGAGGCTTTAACCACTGAGCCGCCCAGGCGCCCCCTGAGGGAGATTCTTAACCGACCCAGGGCCACCCAGGTGCCCCTGCTTCCTTTCTACTAACAAAATCTAAGCTGTAACAGTATCTTCTAAAATGCAACTCTCCAAATTTTCTTGTAAATGAAAAGGTTTATGTATAAATGTCCGAACTCTCCATTTCATGATGATTATTTAACACAAGAATTATTAAATGTTGCAAAGCTGCAAAGACATCAGAAAATTATACAGGAAATCCACTCTTGATTTCATTATTTAATACTTATTTACTTACTTATGAGAGTAGCAACAACTTCAAAACAAATGAGCTGATTGTTCTGGAATAATTTTACAAATGGAAATGCCAAGAGCGGAAGATACGGCGTGTCGCTGAAGATGGCAGACCAGTGAGCTAATGCAGATAGGGTTCTGTGAATCAGGTAAGGAAATAAAGACCAGAGAACAGTTTATTATGAAAATTTGACTAAACAATAGATTTAACTGATAAAAAATTTGCTACAGAAGGTATATTTGATGAAAATTCTCCCTCCTACCTTTATCATCTAGCTTACTTCTCCAGAACTACTGTTAAAAGTATAGATCCTTTTTTAAAAAAATCACAAAGGTTTGTATAAACACTGTGTTGCACCTTATGTTTTTCACTTAACAGCATCTTGGAAAAAGTTCATTATCAGTAGATGCAGAGCTCTGATACACAAGACAGTTTTGCTTAATGTTTTATTTACATCATTCTTCATGCAGGAATATAGATTTGGATAAATTCCTAGAAGTGAAATTGCTGAGTCAAAAAACATATGCATTAATTTCAATAGCCAGTGCCAAATTATTCTCTGCAAAAAAGTGTCTACTCACATTCTCAGTAGCAGAGTAAAGGGATGCCCATTTTCTCACTCTGGCCAATGTGCTTTATTATCCTTCTTTTTAAATCTTTGGTCTAGGTGAGAAATGGCATTTCGATGTGGTTTTATTTTTATCTTTTTTAAAGATTTTATTTATTTATTTGACAGACAGAGATCACAAGTAGGCAGAGAGGCAGGCAGAGAGAGAAGAGAAAGCAGGCTCCCCGCTGGGCAGAGAGCCTGATTCGGGGCTCGATCCCAGAACCCTGGGATCATGACCTGAACCAAAGGCAGAGGCTTTAACCCACTGAGCCACCCAGGCACCCCTCAATGTGGTTTTAAATGTATATATATTTTTTTTTTCACTGTAATTTTAATTGGCATTTATTATAAGGGAGGTACAGCATCTTTTCATGCTTAAGAACCATATCTCCAGCTATGAACTACACATTCAATCCTTTTTCCATTTTTTATTGGTTGGCTCTTTCTACACTCATTTACATGAATAGTTCATATAGAAACCAGCCTTTTATTTGTCCTACATTTTGTATATACTTGCTCAGTTTTACATGTTTCTTTGGGGAATGTTCTTATATGTAGAGATTTGTGTTCATATCAATCTCTTCTGAATATGTCAAGCTTAAAAAGACCTGCCTTACTCTAAGACTATAATTCTATATTTACTCCTGATACTTTTAAGGTTTCTTTTTTTTTTTTTAACTTTTTGTTTTGAGATAGTTTTAGGTTTACAAAAAGTTGCAAAATCAGTAGAGAGTTCCTGTATATCCTCCAGTCAAATTACTCTAATGTTAATATCTTGCATAAATACAGTACAATTATCACCACTAAGAAATTAACTGGTACTGTGCTATTAACTGTACCAGACTTCATTCAGATTTTATCATTTTTCCCACTTTGCTAGGTGGTATTTTATAGTTCTGTCAACCTAGGGTGCCACACTGCATTTCTTTGCTATGTCCCCATAGGTTCTTCCCGTGTGGAAGCTCCCAGTCTTTCAGACACTGACATTTTTGAGGAATGCTACACAGTTATTTTATAGACTGTCCCTCAATGTCTTCTCACAATTTAGAGGGAGGTTCTAAATTTCTGGCAAGAACACCAGGGAAGTGCTGTGCAACTTACTGATGTACATCATTACTGGGGATTTCAAATCTGACTACTTGGTTAGGGCAGCACTGGCCGAGTTTCTCTGCTATAAAATGACTCTCTTCCCATTTGTAATTAATAAACATCTAGAGGAAGGTACACACGTTGCTGCACTATACTGAACACACCTCTGTAACACTCTAAGCAGTTTCCTGCTTCTGATGGGGTACTTCTTGTGAAGGTTGAGAAATGCCACATGCACACCCTTGTCTTCTAGGCTGCTGAACGCAGTGTGGTTTTCAGGCAGCTGGAGCAGAGAACGCCAAATGAACATTCTGAAATAAAAACATCATTTTAACCAAGAACAGTCTGGGGGGTAACACTGATTTAACATGAAAGAAAGTAAATGGTACCTGTATTTCGTGGGATATTCACCATAGCCTTTTAATAAGATCTGTAAACGCTTTTTGTTTAATCCATCTGACAACTCATTCTTTAAAAAAAAAAAAAAAAAAAGTCAGTAAGTGACGTAATTCCAAAACTGAAAAGGTGAAATCTAGCCCACAGCGGCTTTCTAGCTTTCCTTATTTATTTATTTATTTAAAGATATTATTCATTATTTATTTATTTGAGAGAGAGAGAGAGAGAGAGAGAGCGCGCAAGCAGGGGGAGGAGCAGAGACAGAGGGGAGAAGAATCTCAAGGAGACGATACGCCGAGCACGGAGCCCGACACGGGGCTCGATCTCACGACCCTGAGATCATGACCTGAGCTGAAACAAAGAGTCAGACACTCAACTAACTGAGCTACCCAGGCACCTGGTTGGCTTTCCAACTTTATAACACAACACACAGTTAAAAAAATATTTTTAGGGGTGCCTGGGTGGCTCAGTGGGTTAAAGCCTCTGCTTTCGGCTCAGGTCATGATCCCAGGGTCCTGGAATCAAGCCCCGCATGGGTGGGGGGTGGTCTCTGCTCAGCAGGGAGCCTGCTTCCCTTCCTCTCTCTGCTTGCCTCTCTGCCTGCTTGTGATCTCTGTCAAATAAAATAAAACTTTAAAAAATATTTTTACAGGGGCGCCTGGGTGGCTCAGTGGGTTAAGCCTCTGCCTTCAGCTCGGGTCATGATCTCAGGGTCCTGGGATCGAGCCCCACATCGGGCTCTCTGCTCGGCGGGGAGCCTGCTTCCCCCTCTCTCTCTGCCTGCCTCTCTGCCTACTTGTGATCTTTCTCTCTCTCTGTCAAATAAATAAATAAATAAAATCTTTAAAAAAAATTTTTTTTTACATTATGGGACTCTCTATTCTCTCTCTCTCTCTCTCCAGTATGCATATACATAGCAGATAAAGTTCATGACACATTACTGTAGATCTGGGTTTGACTGACATTTCCTGTAAAGCATCAGAGAGTGAATGTTTTAGGCTTTGTGGGCCAAGAGGCAAAACCAAGGATATTATGTAGATATTTAAAATGTAAACATTTTCCGAGAAGCCAGATTTGGCCGACGGGCTGTCAGCTGCTAACCCCTGCAGCAAGGGCAATGCATCCCAGTACTTTCTTCCTTCTCTCTCTCCCCACCCTTTCACTTTTCCCCCCCTTCTTACTTCTAAGTCAATTTTAAGTCAATTCTAATCTTTTTTAAAATTTCATTTATTTTTTAAATTTTATTTATTTGACAGATAGAGATCACAAGGAGGCAGAGCAGCAGGTAGAGGGAGGAGGGGGGCAGGCTCCCCACTGAGCAAGGAGCCCGATGTGGGGCTCAATCCCAGGACCCTAGGATCATGACCTGTGTGGAAGGCAGTCGCTGAACCAAGTGACCCACCCAGGTGCCCCAAGTCAATTCCAATTTTAATGGAAAAATTACTTTACAGATTTGGGGATGATAAAGCCTGTTTTGGAGATGACATCATCTGATGCTAACAACTCAATGAAACAGATGGGATGTTATTTTTATTTCGAGAAAATGGGTGGGTCAGAGCTCAGTGACACCAACCTATTCAGTATGTCTTGGCTAAGACTCAAAGCCAGATTTTTCTGACTTAGTGCAATGCCTTTTTTACCATTAAAAAAAAAAAAAAAAAAAAAAGCAATCCAATGTAAGAGGGAGAGAAGGGACAACCAAGATGATGGTGAAGGAAGATTCCCGCTTGAGAGCCTTGCGCCAGAGCCGGAAGACCAGGCTGGAGCAATAGAATCCAGGAAAGAGACCCATTCACTCTTGTCATCAGCAAGACACCTACTGCCACCCGACCGCTTTGTAAATGGAGATAAAACACCCAGGTGAGTCTGGCTTGAGTTTTATCTGTTCTTATCTTGACCACGTAAGGATAGAGTTCCTACTTCCCCTTCCACAACCCGATGCCAAGATTAGGGGAAGAGACGCAGTTCAGCCTGTACAAGGGTTCTACTTAGACCTCCTCCTTACAGCTGGCCGTGGACTGTGTAGGAACAGCCCACTCCCTGACCCATTTCTGTAGGATCTCCAAATTTGACTCATTCAAGAGCACCACCAGCTACCTTGACGGTGGTGGTGCCTCTTTTATTTCCCAGAAGTCAACTGTGATCATCCCCCAGTTATCCTAGAAAAGGCTCCTGATTAAATTCTCAGCAAAGTTGAGGTCAGACCATGTCCCAGAGGTATCATTCAGCTTCCTTTCTCATTAGAACATTCAATGAACAGGAACAATATTGTCCCATCTTTACACAGCAAGATTTGTGCCTGCTACTTAGCTTTCTAAAAGTAACCAATATTTTTGGAGGGGAGCTTGGTGGGGGGATGGGGTAACTGGGTGATGGCCATTAAGGAGGGCACGTGTTGTAATGAGCACTGGATGTTATATGCAACTGATGAAACACTAAATTCTATCCCTGAAACTAATAATACACTATATATTAATTAAATTGAATTTTTTAAAAAGCTAACCAATATTGAGTTAAGGATTATAGAGGGAATAAAACTATAAAGAAAATCGACATAATTTACACAAAAATGAGGACGATAGTTACATCTATGGGATAGGGAAAGAAATGTGGCTACAGGAGCTACAAGGCTACTGGTAATACTCTGTTTTTTAATGTGGATACAGGTATGTCTAGAAAAGTGTTAACATGGCAGGTCTGAGAATGCTATGCCTTAGAAAGGCAGACTTGCAAGGTTGTCTGGGGTCTAGAAACCTGGGTTTTGGGAAAGTTTCCACTATCCGCAGAACCTCTAAGAGTGGTTCACTGTGTGTAAATTGTTTGTACACTGTGATTTAGGCTGAACACCTGTTTTCCTTGTAGAGGCCTGGATTTTGCAATGTACTGAACAGAGGATGCCTACATAACCAGCCTCCACTGAAAACTCTGGCCCCTGGGTTTCTAATGAATTTCCCTGGTAGATAACACTTTTTTTTCTTTCTTTTTATGTGGGTTTCACAGTTTTACAACGCTCCGAGGGAAAAAGAGATCATTAAAATTAATGTGACAAACGTTAAGTGTTGGTGAGAATTTGGAGCAACTAGAGCTCTCTAATACCTCTTGGTGGGAATATAAATTGTCTCAATCACCTTCTTGGGGAAACTGACAGCTTACTACAGCAGAACAGAAGCATTGCCAGCAAGCCGGTAATTCCATTCCTATAGGTTTATATTCAGCATAAACGTGTCCTACGTTCACCAACAGAGAAGCCACAATGTGCACAGCAGCTCTACTTCTAACAGCAAAAAAAAAAAAAGAAAAAGAAAAAGAAAAAGAAAACCATCCAGATGCCTACTGACTACAGAATGGATAACATCTGGTTTACTCACATGATGGAATTTTATACAGCTACGAGTGAATGATTTACAACTACATGGATTTCTCAAACATAAATCAAACATAATGTTGCAAGAAAGAAGCCACATGCAAAAGAGTACAAACTGAATGATCCAATTATATTATATAAGGACAAAAAAAGGCAGAACTAAGGTATGTATTATAAGTCAGGAGAGCAGTCATCCTTGGGGGAGAGGGGAAAAGTGTCTGGAAGGGACCAGGAGAGGCCCTTCTGGGGTGCTGGTAATGGCCTATTTTTGGTCTGGGTGCCAATCACACAGGTGTGTCCAGTCTGTAAAAATTCACTGAGCTGTATGTTTAGGTGTACTTTTCTCTTTGTGACTGATTTAATGTCAATAAAAAGTTTTAAAAGTCCTTGAAAATGTTAGCAACCTCTTTACTGATATTTATATTTACTTTCAACTCCAAAGTACAATATGCTTTTTGCAGAAAATTAGGAAAATAAAAAATATATATATGAAAGAAGAAAATAAAACTGACTGAAAGCCCTTCCCTTAAAGCTAATTCTATTAGCATCTTGGTTTTTCTTCAAAAATAATACACAGGTACTCCTGTTCCTTTTAAATCAAACTGATATCCAAGTACATAGTTCTTGTAACTTGCTTTCTATATTTAACATACTGTAATTATTTCCCTTTCCTCTTACATATTCTTAGGTTTCTAGTGTCTAGCTCTATCATAACTTATATGCCATTGATCATTTTGGTTGTTTCTAAATTTTTCTTGAATAAATCTCACACACACACACACACACACACACACACACACACACACGGTAACAGATCACCCTAAGGCGAAAAGGCAAAGTGGTATATTCTTTCTTAGAACCATTTGGCTTCTACCATCAAAATTTTTGTCCATACTGTGACTTAAAAATTCTCCTTCTCCAGATACATTTGTCCAAATGTTTGAAGATCACTGTATAAGACTATGCACCGCATCACGGACTATATTAACAGGAGACTCACGACACCATCCAAATGCCAGCTAAGCAGAGTAAATTAAGACCAAGGTAGAGCCACAAGGGGAATACAATGCGAGTATTTTTTAAATGTTGTAGCACCACAGGCATAAATGCGAACAGTCAACACATTAAGTGATGAAAGTCACAGAACAGTGCTATAGTATGATTCCATTCACGTAAAAAAGAAGAAATAGGAAGGTTAAGACACACAGAAGGGCGTATGTCTACACACGCAGGGAAGACTTCTGAAGGAAACGACGACGACCAGCAGTGGTTACCTCAGGGACGTGGGGAGAAGAGCGGGCAGGACAGAAGGGAGAAAGGTGTATTTTTATTTTTCCCTTCATAACCTTCTATACTAGCACTAACAGATAATGCCAGCCATGAATGTAATTTTAAGTTTTCTAGAACTACATTAAGAAAGTAAAAAAGAAACAGGTAAAATTAAGTTTAATAATGTTTCACTGAACCCAATGTAACCAAAATATTATCATTTCAACCTATAATCAAAATTACTAAATTACTAGTAAGATATATTTCATATTCCTTTTGTAAAAATGTATTTACTTATTTGAGTCATCTCTATAGCCAAGGTGGAGCTTGAAATCACAGCCCCACGATCAAGAGTCGCACGCTTTTCTGACTGAACCGGCCAGGCACCCCAAGATATTTTATATTCCTCTGCTTCTACGAAGTTTTCAATATCAGATGAGTATTTCCCCTACACAGCACATCTCAGCTCAGACTAAGCACATCGTAGGTTCTCATTAGTCACACGTGGCTAGCGGCTAGCGTACTGGCCAGTGCACTTCTGTACCGTTTGACTTCTTTAAAAACCACAAACATGTACTAATTATACATTTAAAACTTAGAAATTTAGAAGTTGTCATTTCAGTTACAACTTTCTTCTCTTCGTATCTTTCCTTTAACTTCTAAGACAGGGACAAGTGATGATGGTCTAAGGTATCTTGTCCACAGCAGAGTCTATGACAAACAAAAGTGTAATTATAATATATTCTTACCTCTTTATTTTCAAAACTACCAGCCAGGTCTTGCCTTAGGATTCTGGTTTGCATTCTGTTTTCTCTTGATTTTGCCGGCCGCTGGACCCTTCCCGTTGTTACTTTCATCTTAAGGTCCCCGGAATTCAGTTTACGCTTGGGCACATCTTCAATCACTTTCACTAAGGGAGGAGGTGGCTAAAAAGGGGGAAAAAAAATAAAATCTAGCGGTTATCCTTGGAAAACAGACCTGTCCACGTAGGATTTGCAAAAGTTGTTGTGACCAGTTTCATAATGTGCCTTAACATGCATCACTATTCTTCAAGCAAAAAGTGTCCATAAAATATCCAAGAATGTTCCCTTGTCGTTAAATCAAAACAAATTTCTACCAAATTCCTTTGAAGAACACAGTTAAGATACATGACTAACAATACAAAATTTAATTATCCCTTGAAAGCTGGCCTTAAATCATAGTCTATCAATTGATTTTTTTAAAAAAAGATGTTTTATTTGAGAGAGCAAGCATGAGAGAGAGAGCAAGTGAGCTTGTGCGGGGTGGGGAGGAGGCAGAGGCAGAGGGAGAAGCAGACTCCCCAGTGAGCGGAGAGCCCGATGTGGGACTCAATCCCAGGACCCCAGGGCTTCACGAACTTCACGACCTGAGCCAAAGGCAGATGCCACCCAAGCACCCCTAATCTATTTTTTTTACACTTGCGTGATAAAGTTAGTGGTTTGGTGATAATCGGCAGAGAAGGCACAGTTGGACACAGGGCCCTCCTAGAACGGGAAGAGAAGCGCCCTAGTATTCTTCGGGCTCAAGTGAACTTCTTTGAGGGAGTTGTCAAACGACATTCCTCTAGAGGCGTGGGATGCCTGCCTCTCTGTCCCTGACTCCGCAGAGAAGGCTGTTTGTTAGTCCCCTACGGCATCAACAGCTTAACGAGAAATTTGGACAGCACCTCTCATTTTTATGGGAAAATAACAAGAAAATTAACCCCAACAATTTACTTAAGGGAAAATGATTCACTAGCACATTTTCTCTATGAATAATACCACTTTGAAATCAAAAGATCCGTGTTCAAAGGAAATGAGCAGATAAGGTAACCCAGGCTTCCTGAGTTCTAAATGTTATGAAAGTACAATGACTTTCACAGACCATTTAAATGTTCGAGGCCATTATTCTAAAAGTTTCCTTAGTAATTAGGCCAGACCCAAATCAAAGACAAGGTGGATGTGTGATTTTTAAAAGATTTTCCTGGAAGCCAAAGTGCCTATTCCTTTCATATGAAAACAGAGAAGAAGAACCCAGGGAAGACACCGTATGTCCAAATGGACACATTAGATTTCAAAAAAACACACGTTAGACACAGTACCTTGCATTCACATTGTCATGAAAGCCAGACAGTGATCTTCCAAGATAATGTCTAATGAAAATGAATAAACACTCCTTGGGAAAGCTCTTTGAAAAGGATACCAAACTTTTTGACCTCCTCCCCTCATACTCCCAGAAGAAAAAAGCAGAACAAAGCAAACATCTTGACCCTTTTTTATAACATAGACGACTAAAAGACTACTTTGAGGTTTCAAAGATTTTTCTCATGTTATCTTCGGGGGTTTAGGACTTCTGCTTTTGAAACGTGCAGCCTACTGTCTGAGTCCAAAAAAGTCTTCCTTGGGGCACCTGGGTGGCTCAGTCGGGTTACGCAGCTGACTTCAGCTCAGGTCATGATCTCAGGGTCCTGGGATCGAGCTCTGTGTCAGGCTCCATGCTCGGTAGGGAGTCTCCCTCTCCCTCTGCCCCCCCGCAACGCCCCCTCCCCAGCCGCTCATGCTCACTAGCTCTCTCGTGCTTTCTCTCAAATAAATAAAATCTTCTATTTATTTGAGAGAAAATAAATAGATTTTATTTATTTATTTGACATACAGAGATCACAAGTAGGCAGAGAGGCAGGCAGAGGCGGGGGCGGGGGGGAAGCAGGCTCCCTGCTGGGCAGAGAGCCCGATGCAGGGCTTGATCCCATGACCCTGAGATCATGACCTGAGCTGAAGGCAGAGGCTCAGCCCACTAAGCCACCCAGGTGCCCCTCAAATAAATAAAATCTTAAAAAAAAAAAAGTCTTCCCTTATTGCCATGATGAATACATAACACTGTAAAATGTAAACAGTAGGTAATGTGATAATATACATAGCATAGATACTAAATTTTTGCTTTGAAATTACTATAAAAAGCATTTAAAGTTGTAACTGTTTTTTATTCTTTTTAAAGTTTATTTGACAGAGACAGACAATGTGAGCAAGAACAGGTAGTCAGAGCAGAAGGCAGAGAGGGAGAAGCAGACTCCCTGCCGAGCAGAGAGCCTGATGTGGGACTCAATCTCAGGACCCTGGGATCACAATACCTGAGGTGAAGACAGACACTTAACCAACTGAGCCATCCAGGTGCCCACAGTTGTAACTGATTCTATAAGGATTTTTTTTTTTAAAGGTTTTACTTATTTATTTGACAGAGAGAGGAATCACAAGTAGGCAGAGAAGCAGGCAGAGAAAGAGGGGGAAGCAGGCTCCCCACTGAACAGGGAGCCCGATGCAGGGCTCGATCCCAGGACCCTGAGAAAATGAGCTGAGCAGAAGGCAGAGGCTTAACCTTAAGGCTTAACCCACTGAGCCACTCAGATGCCCTCAATAAAATAGTTTAAAAACTATTTTTTAAATAGTGTTTTTCTCAGAGACATTGTCATTTAGTCACATCAAGAAAGAACTCAAGGATAATGGAACATAAAACAATAGCTCTGGTCCAAAAAAAAAAAAAGTACGATTGCCACCTAGTCTATGATTTAATTTTTCAATTCTTTCATCTATGAAATGCAATTAAAACTAGTCTGACTTCTGAATATTGCCCACTTTTAATATCCTTGATTTATCTTCTAAACTCAACCCATTCTTCCAAATCTTTACTAAAATTTTTATTCTAGGGGAGTCTGGGGGGCTCGCTTGGCTGAGCATCTGCCTTCGGCTCAGGTCATGATTCCGGAGTCCTGGGATCGAGCCACTTCTCCCTCTCCTTCTGCCTACTTGTGCTCTCTCTCTGTGTCAAGTAAATTTAAAAAAATTTTCTTTTCTATTCTAGTGCCACATCTTTTTTTTCTTGAATTCCACGTGCTTCCACGAAATAACAATCTCCCAAAAGTTAGGGCCTAACATATGACCTGCATAGCCATACCTTAGTAGTGTTAAAACTTCAATACATAAGTAGGAATTAGCTTGCTTATTAGCACAATACCAGTAATTAATTCTCCAATGGGCAAAAAACAAACCTTGAAAGAATGGGACATGGGTCAGTTTTGTAGAAACTACAGACCTGAGCCTCCTTGTAAGCCTGCAAAAGTCAGAAAAACACTGATGGTGCTGGGAATGTGTACAAAAGCAAAAGAAAAAAGGATTATCCTACTTCCGTTATATGCTAGCTTTTCTGGTCAGTATGATGTTAATTTGCTTAACAAACAGCAGAGAGGAAGTCACTGACCTACTCTCCGGTTTTTCCCAGGTCTCTCTGCCCACGTCTATTAATAACCCGTACCTGTAGCTCCTGCAAAATTCAGCTAAGCTGAAAACCCTCCTTAAGAGCAAACAATATGTCATTACAATTGTCAATGTTTACAAGAACAGTAGAGGCTGATTCCATATGGTTAAAGAAAATGTAAGCAATGCGCATGCGCACACACAGAGCGGCTGCTCCGTATTCACAGCAGTCCTGTCCTATAAAAAAGCTCCAAGTACGGAGTCAGTGATACTGATCACCGCTCCTGGGGGAAATACCGCTCGGCCCTGGGAGCCAGTGATCACAGCATTTCTGTCAACCGATCAACACAGAACTTTGTCCAGCGTCTGTCTGTGTTCAAAGACAGTTGTTGCATACACATGGTTGACTCATGAGCGCCGAACTCATGCCCACAGCACTATTAGCGTGCGGGGACTAAGCTTATGCACCGCAACCTTCCTGTGTGCGGGGGTGCGGGGGGAGCATTCAAAGAGCAAAACCAACAACAAAAAGCACAGACCTGGGAAAAATGTGACAGTAAACAGACCGGGCAAAGGACACTCATTTGCAGAACGAGAGTGGAAATAAGAAGGCCGAGCGCTGCCAGGAGTGACCGGGGCAGAGGAGCTCAGGCCCTCGGGGCTCCGGGGTTCGGCTGGTGTGAACGCCTGTCAGTGTGTGCTGAGTACTGCCCCGGGTCACAAATGTATTTTTACCAGAAGGCGAATTCACAGTTACAGAATCCACAAAGAATGAGCATGGACTCTCTACGTTTACAAACATAGGGAAAAAAAGCCTAGGAAAATATACACCCCAAAAATCATCTGAGAAACGAGGGACTGAGTGATTCTCATCTTTGCTTATCTGTTATCTTTTGATCTTTTTTCTGCCTTGACATTATCACTTGTCTAATTAAAAAAAAAAAAAAAAAGATAAAGAGGACGAGAAGGAGCACACACATAGCAAAAAGACTGTGTCATTTGAAGAACCGAACTCAGGGCCGGCTGATGACTAGCTGTGTGATGAGGCTGAGGCTTGAGCTTCTTTGTCCATAAAAGGAAATGGTCACGGGGTGCCTGGGTGGCTCAGTGGGTTAAAGCCTCTGCCTTCAGGTTATGATTTCAGTGGGTTAAAGCCATAACCTTCAGGTTATGATTTCAGGGTCCTGGGATCGAACCCCGCATCAGGCTCTCTGCTCAGCGGGGAGCCTGCTTCCTCCTCTCTCTCTCTGCCACATCTCTGTCTACTTGTCTGTCAAATAAATAAATAAAATCTTAAAAAAAAAAAAGGAAATGGTCAGACCAGGTGCTCAGCAAAGTCCCTGTCAGGGCCAGCAGCCTGACTCCGGACCTCGCAAGGCTACACACAGACAGTGAGACTAGGCAACAAGCCAGGGAAATTCTAGATAACCATAAAGGAGAAGTGGGAAGTATATTTTAGGTGAAATGAACATTGCCACAGATGTAGAAATGAGAATGAAGTCTATGGGGGGACATGAGGGAAACTACAAGTCGGGGGGAAGTAAGTTAGACAGGAAGAGTAGGCAAGATTAGAGAAGACTCTGACAGTCAGGCCTTCGAGTCTGGACTTCAAGCATCAGGCGAAAGGAAGGAAGCTGCTTAGAAATGATGACAACAGTATTCTTCTAGAAACATGCTATATAAAAGACGGACTGATGGGCAGAGGCAGGCCCCAAGGGCTCTGAGTTTTGGTATTCTGGATTAAATTACTGTGAACTCAAGAGTTGTTACTCAGTATAAATACAGGGACGGTTAACATGGAGAGGGACAACAGGCTGCATTTACATAGGTATTATTCCAAATTTAAGAATTACGACTTAATATTGGCTAGGTCTAAAGATATATAGAAACAGTCCTCGTGCGCCAAGATTTCTAGCCTGTAAGATGGGAAGAAAGACTGGGACAGAAATGAAGAGATTGGGATTGAAGATTTCTTCTGGGAAGGAGATCATGAGAGGCACACTGAACGGGACAGGGACCCACACAGATGCCTATGAGGACGGCAGCAAGTTAAGGAGCACAGCTGAGCAAAGTGTGGAGGGGCCTGGCTGGCTCAGTGGGTAGAGCCTGTGAATCTTAATCTTGGGGTTGTAAGGGACACGCGGCTTTGGGAGGAAGAGGGGAAAAAAAACCAACACCAGATGTATGGATAAGGTCCAAGGAATTTAGAAAATCATGGCATAAAAATTTTATTTGTTTTTAAGATTTTATTTATTTGAGAGAAAGAGAGGAAGGGAAAGCACAGAGGGAGAAGCAGGATCCCCACTGAGCAGGGAGCCCGAAGCAGGGCTCTATCCCAGGACCCCGGGATCATGACCTGAGCCGACCTGACCTAAGCCCCTAAGCCGAAGATCGATGCTTAACCGACTGAGCCACCTAGGCGCGCTGAGATTTTATTTTTGATGGTACAGCATTTAAATCTTAAAAAAAAAATTGTGATGTTCTTTACTTGATCACATACCTTATTTATTTCCTGGGTTAGAGCCTGAACTGAGTATATGTTCAGACTTCCGTTTTCCATAATGGACGCAATGTAACGTCCATGTGGGCTAATTACTGATGAGCTAATTCCTTCATCAAGACTCCCAATTTCAAAGAGAAGTTTACAAGTCTGTATATTGATGAATCTCATTATACCATCTTGACTTAGCACTCCAAGAACCTAAGGGTAAAGAGAAACAATATATGAGTTCCAAAAACACATTTAAAAAGTCAAAGGTCTCAGATGTTAACTAGAGTTACTACGTGATCATTATACAATGTATACAAATATCAAATCATTATGAACCTAATGTTTTATGTCAATTATACAATTAAAAACAGTCAACTCCCTGAACATGAAACTACACATACTCACATGTACATATGTGTATATAGTTATATATGAGGGTTTTTTTTTTTTTTTTTTTGAGGGGAGGAGAGTCAGAGATTATACTGGTAAAGAGCCATCACATATTTCAAAATTCCTAATTAAGGCTCATGTAGATTTGCCCCTTTTAGGTCCAGATAAGCCTGGCTCTGACCAGAAGCAGCAAGGTGCCCATCCCAGGAGACTGTGGCAGGGAGCATCCATACCAATCCCTTCAGAGGAATACAGATTAGACAGTCCTTCACTTTGACCTCCGCTCTGGCTGTCAGAGGCAAGGAGGGAGGAGGGTTTGTTTTCCTTCACCAGCCCCACAGCTTGATCAGAACGAGCACGGGTCCTGCTGCGTCCCCAGAAACCTGACTCTGGCAGGTATACTAGGGAATATAGAAAGCAAGCCTGTGGGCTGCAAGGAAGGGGAACGGGAAACTGGTTTTTAAAGGGGGGAAACTTAGTTTTAACTCATGTAATTTGAAAAATTAAAAATAAGTACTAAAAAAGTGTAAGTCAATACACAGTAGAGCCCTCTACTGGCTTGTCCACTCCCGGCTTCTCCCCCCACCACGGGCTGCACCGAGATGCTGACGTCACCGGCTACATGAGAGGCGACAGTCTGGAAGTGGCTGGAAGCAGTCTGAAGGTGGCAATCTCTTCGGTAGGGTCAGGCTGGCAGAAACCCCCCCCATTCATAGTTGATGCAACCTTTCTAGAGGGCAATTTGGCAAGATCCTCAAAATGACAGACACACATCAGCTTGACCCTACTGTTTCAGCTCTGGGTGAAATGGGGTGTGTGAAATGGTACGTGCAAAAAGTTATTTGGCGCACCATTATTTGTTTGTTTTTTAAGATTTTATTTATTTGAGAGAAAGAGAACAAGACAGAGAGCACGGGGAGGGGCAGAGGCAGACGCCCTGCTGAGTATGGAGCCCAACAAAGGGCTCAATTTGGGGCTCAATCCCAGGACCCTGAGATCATGATCTAGCCCAAGGCAGACGCTTCACTGACTGAGCCACCAGGACACCCCTCATTGCACCATTATTTGTAATAAAGAAGAACTAGAAACAGGCTAGGTGCCCAATAACAAAACACTGGTTAAAAAACTATGAAATACTATAGAGATGTTAAAAAAAAAAGAAATTCTGTACTGATACAGAACAATGTTCAAGGTCAATTAAGTGAAGAAAAACAAAACAAAAAAAAAAAAGGTGAAGAAACGCAAGGCACAAAGCTGCATAAAAAAGTGGGAGAAACACCAGACTTAGAACAACAGTGGTTATGGAGAGTGAGTAACTGGGCAAACGGGAGAGAAGAATAAGAGATTTCACATCATTGTCTTATTTTTTAATGTTTTTTATATTTTTTTATCTTTTATGTTTTCACTATCTTCTTATTTTATTTTTATTATTTTTATGTTGTGAATGCTTGTCTATTCAAAAACCTTATGTTAGGAGTACCTGTCCAGCTTAGTTGGCAGAACATGCGACTCTTGATGTCAGGGTCATGAGTTATATATAACTTGTTAAAGTACAAGACTCAAAACAGTCAAATTATGATAAGGAAGCTAAAGTCTGTCTACTCAACTATTAAAAAGAAAAATGGTGTGAGGGCGCCTGATTGAATCCTTAGAGAATGTGACTCTGATCTCAGGGTCATGAGTTTAAGCCCCATGTTGGGCGTGGAGTCTACTTTTAAAAAGGAATAAAATGAAATAAAATACATAAGCAAGAAAATTTTTACAAAATGTTGTGTGTGGTGGGGGTAATCTATAAACTAAGGCAAGTTACAAAGAAAACGTTTCACAAAACTGAGGTACAGTTATGGTAGATCAAATAGTATAACAAAAAGAAAAATTTTAATTCTACTCCCCCCTTTAATCCTTACAATTAATAGGAATGTTGACAAATCACTTCATGTTTCTAAGTTTTAATGTCAGTCCATATAATGGTGCAAATAAAAAATAACATGCTACGGGCGCCTGGGTGGCTCAGTGGGTTAAAGCCTCTGCCTTCGGCTTGGGACATGATCTCGGGGTCCTGGGATCGAGCCTCGCATCGAGCTCTCTGCTCAGCAGGGAGCCTGCTTCCCTTCCTCTCTCTCTGCCTGCCTCTCTGCCTGCTTGTGATCTCTGTCTGTAAATAAATAAATGAAATCTTTGGGAAAACAACAACAACAACAACAACAACAACAACATGCTAAAGCACCCTGTAAACCGTAAAGCCTGACACAAAGTTAAAGTACACTGATTTTAGAAAAAGGGTAAATTGTCAGTAATACACAGAAGCTAATATTGTAAATTTTTTTCAATTTTAGACTCTTCGTAACGTTAGCAATTTCAAGTCCTTATAACAATCAAGGTAGAAGAGCAAAGACAGTTCAGAAATTGTGCAATGTCCTACCTTTATATTACTAACCTGATTAGAACCAGCATCAAAACTATCGGGGAGAAATTCGAGGTGGCGGATGGCTCGGACTTTAGTAGGCATCTGAATAATTCTGAACAGCTGTTTAGCCTCCAAGCACCACAGGTGAAGGTGATTTGACTTCCCTCCGGCGGCCAGGATGCGACCATCTCTGCGGAACAAAAGGTGAGGAAGTACAACCACGTGGACTGTTGCCAGCAGCGAGGTCCAACATCACCCAACGAGATCAAGATATTCTCTCTCCACGCTGCCCAACGTGCTCACTATGGCCACATGTGACCGAGAACTTGAAATGTGCCTAATGCTTCTGAGGAAATAAATTAATTTCATTTTTTACTAAACAGTCCCATGCAAACAGTGGCTACCATATAGGAAAGCTCAGGTTTACGGCCTGTGTATTTTTTACCTATTGTACTAAGATACCAGCTTAACAAATGCTTGTTTGTTCAAATCCTCAATTCACTGAGGATTTCTGAGTAACATTTATCTTTTATAGCATAATCTCCAAGTCATTACCACCCCCCAACTTCCTCTACTTCACACAGGACTAGACTGAGTTGGTACCGCACTGCTACATGAAAACCCAAAAACCCCAACTTATTCTCTTCCTGCTCAAACCAAGCTGCTTCTTCAAGGCACAAAAATAATACGCTGCACTAACTCACGACACTGCGGCTCATTCATTCATCAAGGACTTGCAAAGCGTCTACTGCAAGCCAGGTATTGTCAGGCACCAGGGACACAATGGGAACAAGGCAGGCGGGATCCCTGCTCTTGTGGGATTTTCAGTCTAGAGGAAGGGAAGGAAGCAAATAGACGCACTTGATCTCAGCTGACGATAAGTTCTATAATGAACTATAAAATGAGATGGGAGTTACAGGGTTGGGAAAGGAGGAAGGTCTATTCCCTAAAAAATGTGAGTGAGCCAGTTACGGGATGATCTGGAGAAAGAATCCCATGCTGGTCGGTATTCCAGACTGTTTGATGTGTGGCTGTTGAGAAAGGAATAAGGTTAGCCACCTAAGGAAGACAGAGAAGTCACGTTCAATTGTGACCAGAATCGTGTTAAAGGGAAAGAAAACAGGAGGAAACCGAGGAAAACCGAGGCCAGATGACAGAGGCCTCAGGGATATTATGGGGAGTTTGGATTTTATTCTGACTATAAGGTAAAGCCTTTTCAGGGAGTTCAATAGGGAAGTGACATGATTTGAGTTATGACTTAAAAAGACCACTCTATCAGGGCATCTGGGTGGCTCAGTCAGTTAAGCGTCTGCCTTCGGCTCAGGTCATGATCCCAGGGTCCTGGGATCGAGCCCTGCATTGGGCTCCCTGCTCAACAGGAAGACTGGTTCTCCCTCTCCTCCCCGCTTGTGCTCTATCTCTCTCTCAAAATAAATAAATAAACTCAAAAAAAAAAAAAAGAAGAAAGAAAGAACAGAAAAGAAAGAAAAGGAAGGGAAAAGAAATTGAGAACAAGGAGGCCAAATAGGGCGACTATTATGGGAGTCCGAAAGGGACCAGGGTAGTCGGAGGAGGGTAATAGCTGTGACAATGCAAAGATCAGACCAATTCAAGATACCACTTGGTGGAACTGATGGAATTTATTCATGACTTCGAAGATGGTGAGAGGAAAATAAGGAAATAACATGTATTTTCTAGCTCTTTCCACTGAAAAGGCCAAGGACAGTGACCAGATCAGTCACACAAGGAGTACCCCTAGCATCCAGACTGGGTTTTGAAATACCACCACCCACTAAAATCCAGGTGCTTTAGAAAAATGGCTGATTCCAGGTTTGGGACAGAAAATGTGTAAGATAAGCCTGGAACATCTCGTCAGATGAGAAAGAATGAGAGCTTTCAAAACAGACAACTGAGGTTGTATCAAAAGGGTTTTCAGAGCCAACTTGAAAGAATTCCAGTGGTCAAAGGGAAGAGAACCAGAGCACCACTAAGAATAATGTTAATAGATTAAATCACTTTGACTATGATTAAATCCATTCATTCACAAAGATTAAAGATAAAGCCCTCATGGGCCACCTCTGAAAGATGCCAATAAACTAATTTATTATTTTTCATAAAAAAATCAGACAAACTCAGTCTGACTCTTGATCTCAGGGTCATGAGATTGAGCCCCATACTGGGCTCCACTAAAAAAAAAAAAAATTTATTTTTCTTTTAAAGACACGGAAAGCAAGCATTTATCCTGCCTTTCCTTTGCAGCTATAAAATAACCAAAGAGTGGACGAGAGGAAGTTCCTCTCTATAGAAGGTTTCTGGTAAATAAGGGAAGAAGGAATGACAGAATTAGCCTGGCACCATTTTGCTAACCTCTAAGGCAATACTGGTTCTAGGTCATGATCATCAATGGCGACTAACATCATGAAAGAAGTGTTCTTCTGATGAAAGTATGCAAACCATTATCATTATCATGTCTTCCTGACCCCAAATCAAGCCTGAATCAGACCAAGCTTCCAATTTACAGGAAATATAGGTGTGACCAGTATACAGGAAATACAGACAAGACAGGATCATATTAAATACTAACACAGGGATACAAAAAGCAAAACCTAAAATACAGAGTGCTATAGGACAAAAGACCAGTTCCTTAACAAGCAAATAGCAAGGAAAACCTTAGAAAAGGGATATATCATCCAAGACACTGTGTGAAACTTGTTTGGTTCCTGATTTGAACAAAGACTGTATATATGACAATATTAAGAAATTATTCATTTTTTAAAAGTGTAATAAATGGGTTAACTAACTAGAATTTAAATAAAAACTTGGAAAAAAAAAGTGACAATAGTACTATAGTTATGTCCCAAAAAGGACCCTTTCTTTAGAGATACACACTGAAATATTTATGGATGAAATGATATTGCTTGGGTTTTGCTTTAAGTTAATGCAGTAGGCAGGAGGTAGTAACAAGTTGAGTTATAGATAAAATAAAACGGCTATAAGTTATTACAGCTAAAGAGAATGCTATAATTAGGGTTTCCTGTGTTTTTGTATTTTTATGCACATTGGAAATTTGCCACAATAAGTTAAAAAGAAAAAGTTCTACAGAACATATATAAGTTCGAAGGAAAATTTTCTCACATGACAATAAGATAATAAAAACAGAATGAAAATTTTTAAAATTTTACTGGAAGCTAGATTTCTTTAAAATTGTTTTTTTTTTTAAGAAATTTTATTTATTTATTTGACAGAGAGATCACAAGTAGGCAGAGAGGCAGGCAGAGAGTGAGAGAGAAGCAGGCTCCCTGCTGAGCAGAGAGCCCGACGCGGGGCTCAATCCCAGGACCCTGGGATCATGACCTGAGCCGAAGGCAGAGGCTTAACCCACTGAGCCACCCAGGCGCCCCTAAAATTCTGTTTTAAAAATGTACATTTGGATTGGAGAGGGAGACAAACTGTAAGACACTCTTAACTCTAGGAAACAAAGTGAGGGTTGCTGGAGGGGAGGTGGGGAGGGAGGGTATAACTGGGTGATGGGCATCAAGGAGGACACAGGACAGAATGAGCACAGGGTGTCATACGTAACTGATGAATCACTGAGCTCTCTCTGAAACTAGTAATACACTACATGTTAATCAACTGAATTTAAATAAAATAAAAATTTTTAAAAATTTACATTTGGGGTGTCTGGCTGGCTCAGTCAGAGGGATGTATGACTCTTGATCTCAGGGTCATGACTTTGAACCCCATGATGGGTAGAGGGATTACGTAAAAAAAATAAAGTTAAACAAAAAAGTGAAATGCACATTACCTGGTCACGGCAAATACTTTGTATAATATACTAGAGCTTTCAGGTGGAGCTGGCAACTGGTATCTGCAAGAAAGAGTATCACATTCCCAGGCGAAGATGGAGTTATCTTTAAAACAGCTGAGGATGGTATTACTTAATGGCAAAAAGAATACCTAAAAAGGGAGAAAAACAGTTCTTGTTCATGTAGCCCACAGCTCTCTTTACATTTAAAATTATACAAGTTGTCAATTTTTAGTTTGAAAAATTACTTTTTCTTAAAAAAATATACATTTATGACATAGGACGGGATAACACTGAAATCTCGTATACTATTCTAAAACTGAAAGGAAAAGGTAAAACCCTTTAAATAAAAAAATCGGGACTAAAATGACTAGGCAGTTCATAAAATACAAAGTAACAATTTAAAAATATTTAACCTTATAAAAGATTCAAGTGAAAATAACAGTCTATGTGTATCAAATTGACTTTAAAAATAACATAAACACATACACAAGCTAGACATACACTAACATGGGAACTCTTTTTTTGAACTATGTACTATTATAAACATGACTTGAAATAGGAACTACTCATAAAGATTACATATTAAATACTGCTGAGAGTAGAGGAAACTGGTAATAAAAACTGGTTACAGATACCATATGACATATCTCAACAGCCTTGAAAATATGTATCTCTTCTGAACCAATCAGTCTGCTTCTAAGAGCTAATCCTTTGGAAGAAAAAATCAGCAAGGTGCTTTGAGATAATGTATACAAATGTTTGTTGAGCATTATTTATAAAAGTAAAAAGTTGAGGGGCACCTGGGTGGCTCAGTGGGTTAAGGCCTCTGCCTTCAGCTCAGGTCATGATCCCAGGGTCCTGGGATGGAGCCCTGCATTGGGCTCTCTCCTCAGCAGGGAGCCTGCTTCCTCCTCTCTCTCTGTCTGCCTCTCTGCCTAATTGTGATCTCTGTCAAATATATAAATAAAATCTTAAAAAAAAAACTTTTTTTTTAAAGTAAAAAGTTGAAAACAAAACCTTGATGTTTTATTAGAGACTCAACTTACTTCATAGACAATTTTGACTAAGCTTGTAGCGAAGTTGGAAATACCATTTTACTCTGATTTCTGTGTTTCTATTACATACGCTCTGAATAATGCTTTCTTTTTTTTTAACAGATTTCATTTATTTATTTATTTGACAGACAGAGATCACAAGTAGGCAGAGAGGCAGGCAGAGAGAGGGGGAAGCAGGCTCCCTGCTGAGCAGAGAGCCCAACGTGGGGCTCAATCCCAGGGTCCTGGGATCATGACCTGAGCCAAAGGCAAAGGCTTTAACCCACTGAGCCACCCAGGCGTCCCTGACTTTTGATAATAAAAAATTTTAGTTAAAACTCATCATTTTCTCATAAGAATGTCGATGGCCTCTAAAATGATTTTGTGTGTCACTTGTGTAAAGCATACAAAGGGAGGGAGGGAAAAGAAAGAAGGAAAGAAAATGGGAAGAAACCTATGCCCGAAGAACAACATATTCCTGCCCATCATCTCAAAATAGTCTCCTCACATAGCCTGGGACATCTCACGTGGTCGATCCTTAGTTACATCTCTAGCTCTTTATTCTTTGACTCCCAGCTGGAATAGCCTTCTTACTGGCATTATAGCTTATTATAATACTTTATATTTGAATATATTTTGTCCTTATTTCTGCTAGTCTGTCTTTATAAGCTTTATTATTCTTTTAAGAATATATGATTTGGTCTCGTATTAGAGCGGAACAGGGACTCACCCAGGAGGCAGAACACCTTGAACAATCTGTAGCCTCGCATTCTGACCCCTGACTGGTCACCCACCTTCACCATTTCCTAGTGTGAGAAGGAGGCCCGTCTTCTCTGAAATGCTACATTCTTTGGGAATGAAGTGCGCAACGATTCGAACACTGGAGTATCTCCTGAGTATTTACAGTCTGGAGGCCATCATCATAGTAATGAGAGGGAGCAGACCCAAAACGACTGTCTGGGGGAAAGCAGGCTCAACACCAAATCGCCTGTGGCTTCCTCCAGCGTTAAAAACATAATGAATCCATAACGCACCTAAATGAAATACTTCTGCAACCTTGCATCTAATTTGTGTCATCACCCAGTCTATTATATATATGCATTTAAGAAATGATTCTAATAATTAATGTTATTACTATATTACTATAAAAATTTCAGAGGATTGAAACCCATACCTTTTTTTTTTTAAGATTTTATTTATTTATTTGACAGACAGAAATCACAAGCAGGCAGAGAGGCAGGCAGAGAGAGAGGAAGGGAAGCAGACTCCCCGCTGAGCAGAGAGCCCGACGCGGGGCTTGATCCCAGGACCCCGAGATCATGACCCGAGCCGAAGGCAGCGGCTTAACCCACTGAGCCACCCAGGCGCCCCAAACCCATACTTTTTTTTAATAGTTTTGTTTTTTTCCTTAGAGGTGAAGTGAGGGGTAGAGAGAGGGAGAAAGAAAATCTTCAGCAGACTCCACGTCCAGCACGGGCCTGACACAGGACTCTATCTCAGGACCTTGAGCCAAAATCGAGAATCAGATGCTCAACCAACTGAGCTACCCAGGTGCCCCAAGAAACCTGCAAATTTTATAGTAACAGTAACAGCTTTTATCATGAACTATTTTTCTCATATGCATGTAACAGTATCTTTTAAAATAATAATAGCGCTAAAAAACCACAACTCATACACACACACACACACACACACACACACACACACATAATGCACTATGGGACTTACCGGTTAATTAAAACAATCTGCTCAGTGTTAATGCTAATAAGACAAAATAAAAAATGCTAATTCAACTGCTGTCCTTGCCTGATTCAACCCCCGCTTTTGTCCTTGGCTCACTTTGTCAAAGACAATCTCTGGTAGATGGTTTGCCAACAGGTTCAGGAAGATTTATGACAGCCCTTATTGAAAGAATATGAAATAAATACAATGTGATCTATAATTATTGCACTGAAATGCTGTTTGAAAGCTGACATCAGGGGCGCCTGTGTGGCTCAGTGGGTTAAAGCCTCTTCCTTCGGCTCAGGTCATGATCCCAGGGTCCTGGGATCAAGCCCCTCATCCGGCTCTCTGCTCCGTAGGGAGCCTGCTTCCTCCTCTCTCTCTGCCTGCCTCTCTGCCTACTTGTGATCTCTGTCTGTCAAATAAATAAACAAAATCTTTAAAAAAAAAAAAAAAAAAAAGAAAGAAAGCCGACGTCAAAAAAAGTGACTTAAGATTTTTATTATAACTAGCAATATTTTTCTAAAAAGGTAATAAAGTTTATTCCTACTGGCAGAAGCCAAAGCTTAAAAGTTAATGAACACCAACTGCTATTTTAGGGGAAGAGGTGTAATAGATTATTGCCTACATGATTATTCATTACTAGATTTGTGATTTTAATTGCTAGATTTTAATGATTATAAAATTGTTCCTAATGAATCATGTCATTATTCAGATAGTGTCATCTCTTGACAATCATAAAAAGCTTAGAAAAAACATGAAAAGCACTAACAAAATATACTTTTTGGAGGGTTGGGTGAAAGGTTTTCCTCATAAAATATGAAACTCCTAGGCTTTCCAACTCACTTGTGAGAATCAGGTGAACTCTTTCCAAAGTTGAGAGTTCAGTACAATAATAAAGAGCAAGCTAAATCAAATACACAATTCAGCGGAAATTTAGTGAGCGCCCACTGTATACAAAGACTAAATTTAGTGACACGTTCTTTGTTAAACATTTCCTCATATCCATCACAACCTTTTCCAATACATACTGAACCACAGTAATCAGAAACCCTAGGATTTATTAAAAAATCCCAAAGTAAATATTTAATTTAAATATTCTACCTCCAACATCAACAAAATAATCAAAGTTTACTAATAGGAAGAGGTGTAATCGGCTTACCTGAGAGGCAGTACGGTATAATGGAGTGACTCTGGAATAAGACAGGCTTAGATTCAAAACACACGTCTTTGGTGAGCTCTGTGACACTGGGCACATTACTTAATGCCTCTGAACTGCAGATTCCCCATTTGTAAAATGAGAATAGCATCTACTTTTAGGATTATTTAAGTTTAAAAATAACCAACTCAACAACTGGTATCTATTGCCGTTGGTATTGATTATTCCTATAGCCGGGGACAAAAACCAGTGGAAAGACGTTGGAATGATAGGTTCTTTAAAAACATTTTGAAATCAGGGGCGCCTGGGTGGCTCCGTTGGGGAAGTGTCCAAGTCTTGATTTTGGCTCAGGTCATGATCTCAAGATGGTAGACAGAGCCCCGCGCTGGGCTCTGTGCTCAGTGCTCAGTGGAGAGTCTGCTTGAGAATCTCTCTCTCCCTCTGCTTCTGCCCCTCCCCCTGCTGGTGCATGCGTGCGCCCCCCCCCCCCAAAATAAATTTTAAAAATCTTTAAAAAAGAAAAAAAAAAAGAAAAACATTTTGAAATCAAAGGTCCAAAGTTATTTTTCTGAAACCCTTGGTGTTAGATGTATTCCTGAATTCAGAATTATTCCCAATCTGAGAAAGGTAATAGGAGGTATGTTCTGGAACAGTATGTAGAACCCCTGGGGGACCTGGAGCAACTCTCTGTCACTCAAACATACGAACATTTCAGCCTCCTGGCGGTTCAGTTCAGGTTTTGCTGCCAAATGAGCTCAGGTAAGACTGGATTTTGCCACGAAGTGAGTTACTTGAAAATTTCCAGGTTTCTGCATGGCTAATGAGACACTCACTGTTCATCTATTATATGCAGTTCACAAGAGATAGAACAGTTCCCTTACAGCTTTCTGGAGATAACTAACTGCACTGAGATAATCCCGCAGTAGAACCAGATCACAAATGAGAACAACAGACAACAGCAAAAGCCGCAGCAGTTGCAGCTGACTTGGTTATAAGCACTTGCTATACCAGAGCAGGTGCTACGTGCTAGGTGCTAGGTGCTCTGTATAAGCGATCACATCCCGTCCTGGAGTCAATCCTACAGTACTTGCTGCTCCCATCTGCATCCTACACATAAGGTAAATAGCTCGTCGAAAATGATGAACAGGAATCTACTCAAGACTTTAGACATAACTTCTGTCTGACAAGAACTACAAATGAAAGAATAAGTTAAATGACATAATGATGAACAGTAAGACAAATTCAGAATTTGGGGCATTTTCCAGGACAACTGGCCTGGTTGCCCTCAAAATAAATAAATGAATAAATAATGTCATGAGAAAAAATGGTAAAAGGCTATATTACTTTATTTTTAAAGATTTATTTGAGGCGGGGGGCATGTGTGGGGAAGGCAGAGGAACAGGAAGACAAGAGAATCTTAGGCAGACTCCCCACTGAGGGTAGAGCCCAACACGGGGCTCGATCTCACCACCTGGAGATCATGACCTGAGCCAAAATCAGGAGTCGGATGCTTAACCAATTGAGCCACCCAGGTGCCCCAGTAGAAGACTATTTTAGATTAAAAGGAGCCATCATAAAAGGAGACTGTGCATAGCATCATTTGTCACCTTGTATCTCTCTTCCTCTCTCTCTCACACACATACACACACACACACACACACACACACACAAAGTCACAAAAGTTCTGTTTAAAATATAGAATCGAAAACTGGAATAAAAACATAGATTTAGTAAAAACATCAATGATAAGAATAAGTTTTACTTTAAGATTAGTTTAAAATTACTTTCTATTTTCAACAGAATAAGCCAGGAGTGGCAACAGTCTGGCCCCTTCAGCTCTTGTATAGCCCAGAAGCTAAGAACGGTTTTTACATTTTAAAATTATTTCATTATAGGGGTTATATAAGTACATACATAATATCCTCAACTTTGCTCTTGGTCTGCAAAACCAAGAATATTTATTAATGGGTCCTTCAAGAAAAAGTTCGCAGGTAATGTACAGACTAAGATGGTCTATTATTCGAGAACAATATACCTATATGCATACTGCATACTCTACATATGTTTTCTATATTTTATTCTCATATCGCTAACATTTGGAGTCCCATCTTTTAAACTAAGATGTCTAAATGACCAAGCAAGGTTAGAATTGGCAACGATCCAGCATCTAGTAATTTTAATTTCATGGTAAAAAGAACAGATGGTTTTTGTGTCACTGTTTCATAACTCTGTTTCCATTGTGGGTTCAATTCCCAATGTGTTCTTCTTTTGAATTTAGAATTCAATTTAATGCTGAAGCAATTAAAGAAGAAAAGACCTACTAAGATATTTGGCCTAAACCCCTAAAGAATAAGGTGGCTACAACTTCTATCTCTTTTTAATTATTAAAGGCAATCTAAAGAACTCTGAGATTTCCATAGAGACTACAAAATACATTTCTGGTTGACATGCACTGTTAGCTGTTCACATTAACGACCAAGAAATTAAAAGCAATACCACATGGACAATATAACCAGAAGCAACAGAATGAATCACACAGGAGACTCAGACGATCCTGAAAACAGTATTAGGCTAATCAAATGGAGAAAGCAAAATTAAGCCTTAAAGGCAAAAGAAGTGGTTATTTTTTTAAAAAGTGATATATGCATACAAAGGAATACAGATCAACAATAAAAAGGAATGAACTACGGGTGTCCAACACCATGCATGAATCTCAAAACCATCATGCAGAAGGAGAAAAGCTTTACAATTACCATTTCTGACTAGCTCTCTTTGTTTGAAATTTTAGGACAAAACTTATCTACGGTGGAAAGACATCAGGATAGTGCTTCCCTGGATAGGGATAAGAGAGAAATTTCTGGAATGATCAAAGTAATAGGTCTGCACAGTTTACAAAAGTGTATGTATTTGGCAAAACTTAACAAACGAATACTCAAGATTTGCGCATCTCATCATATATAAATTCCACATCAATAAATACTGAACCCTAGTCAATTAAATTCAGGCTGAAGTATTTTTGGGCAAGTATACGGAGGTCTGCAATTCACTTTAAAATGAAAAAAAAAGGGACGCCTGGGTGGCTCAGTCCGTTGGGCTGCTGCCTTCGGCTCAGGTTGTGATCCCAGGGTTCTGGGTTCAAGTCCCACATCGGGCTCCTCGGTCAGCAGAGAGCCTGCTTCTCTCTCTGCCTCCGCCTGCCACTCTGCCTTCTTGTGCTCGCTCTCTCTCTCTGACATATATATAAATAAATAAATAAAATCTTAAAAAAAAAAAAAGAATAAATGGAGGGACAGAAAGATGGATAGATCCATAATACAGTCTAGAGACATAAGTACAGTAAAAGATAATAAAGGAACATGTTAATGGCAGAATCTAATGGAATACATGGGTTCACTGTGGAATTCTTACAAATCTACTCTGTTTGAATTTTTTTTTTTTTTTGACAGAGAGAGATCACAAGTAGGCAGAGCAGCAGGCAGAGAGAGGGGGGAAGCAGGCTCCCTGCCGAGCAGAGAGCCTCATGCGGGGCTCGATCCCAGGACCCTGAGATCATGACCTGAGCCAAAGGCAGAAGCTTAACCCACTGAGCAAACCAGGTGCACCTATGTTTGAAATTTTTTAAGACAAAAGCTCAGTAAGTTATAAACTGTAGCCACAGGCAACATCTTCATTCCGATGGGCCACTCCGCTTTGTGTGTTACTGCATTATGAGAACACAACTACGTGGGACAAAGTGAATCATTCATTACTCTTATGTCACCTACAAATCCTACTGACCAAGAAACTAGTCCGAGAATCACAACAGACCAAGATGCGCCCCACCTCCACTGACCTTTTGGATACCCACAGACTGTCGAATATTCAGCTTTCTTTTCCTCTGAAAGGTATCCAAGTCCCACAGCTGGGCCGTGTCAGAAGAAGTGGTGATGGCGTATCTCCCGGAGGCATGCACGGAGATCGAGAACACGGACGACTCATGTCCTCTCATCCAGCTAACCAGCTCCTTGCTAACTGTGGCAGAAAGTAGAAGTTACACAGGTAGAACACTGTAGCTCATCCCAGCCCGGATTCGCTGATGGCCGGTATTTACAAGACACCTGCGCTCACATCTACAAAAGAAAAAGCCAGTAGCGTAAACGCACCACGGAGCACATAACATGCCCGTCACCGACACGTGAGGTGACAAGGCCAAATGAGGAAGGGCTTAAGAACAGCTTACAGGGGCGTCTGGGTGGCTTAGTGGGTTAGATGGAGCCCCACATAGAGCTCTCTGCTCAGCAGGGAGCCTGCTTCCCCCTCTTTCCACCTATCTGCCTACTTGTGGTCTCTCTGTCAAATAAATAAATAAAATCTTTATTAAAAAAAAAAAAAAGAACAGCTTTCAGTGGGACAGTAGGGAGTCTGGGCTTTCCCTTGGAGGCGTAGTTTTGTATAGAAGAGCAGCATATCTGGTGTGTATTTTAGACTGAGCACTTCGAAGGTAGGTGGTGGATATACTGGAAAGAAGGCAGAGATGAGACAACTGATTTCTTTGTTGCTGTGATAATCCAGGAAGGAGACAAGGAAGGTCTAGAACTAAAAACGTGACAATGGAGAAAGGAATAAATTTGAGAGCTATGAAGGAGAAATGCAAAGGACTTTGTGATCAAATATATGTGTTGAAATAAAAGATGAGAGGGGCGCCTGGTGGCTCAGTGGGTTAAGCCTCTGCCTTCCGCTCAGGTCATGGACTCAGGGTCCTGGGATTGAGCCCCGCATCAGGCTCTTTGCTCAGCAGGGAGCCTGCTTCCTCCTTTCTCTCTCTCTCTGCCTGACTCTCTGCCTACTTGTGACCTCTCTCTGTCAAATAAGTAAATAAAATCATAAAAAATTAAAAAAAAAAAAAGAAATAAAAGATGAGGTAAGTCTTCAATGGTTCTAGCTTAGTTATGTAACTAGGTGATACTAGGAGCTGATTTAAGAAGTACGGGAGGAGAAATAGATCCAGCAGCGTGGGAAGAAGTGATCATGAATTTGATTTTCAAAACTGATCCTGAGGTGTGTGCATGCACATGTGAGAGAGAGACACAGAACACAGCCTGGCAGAGAAAATACCAAAAATGTCACAGCAATTATCACTAGGTCATAGAATTTTAAGTGATTTTTAAGTTCTCTTTTCACTTTCTTGTGTTTCCAAATTTGCTACGGTAGGCAAGTTTTACTTTCATGATCGAAAGTTTTTCCTCCAGAAAGAAGAAACTGGGGAGAATAGTCCAAAGCAAGATGTAAATCTGGGAAACATTAAGATACAAAGTAGGTCAAAATGAAAACAGAGGGAACACAGAGAAACCCCTGGAGCAAGCAGTAGTTTGCAAACACCAGTCTGAAGTCTGGCATTAGTGAATGATCAATTTTTCATTGGTTTTCAGTGAAATGAGAAAAATAAGGATAATGAAATGAAGCTTAAATTTAAAGTACTACCTTTTAATCGAGGATTCTATCCTTCTCACTTCCTTTATGTTTAAAAAAATCTCATTGCACGAAATGCAGTTCTATTGTTTTTTCCAATGTCATTTAGCAAAATTAAAAGCTGACAACCCATGGAGTTATTCCTCTACTTTTTCCTTTTAATTGGGTGAAAAACCCCAAAGTCTAGGGACCACTCAAATAACTCAGGAGGGAGCCTAGTAAGCAGCAGTCGGGAGAGTAGGAAGAGAAAGTAGAGAGAAGAGGAGGAAACTGAGGCCCTGCCGTGAAGCAAAGTGCTAAATGCTACTGAGAGGCAGAATGGAAAGTACAAAGAAGGTTTCAAAGAGGTTAGTAACCTCTGATTAGAGGTTACTAATGACCTTAGAGGAGCAGGGAGTGCGGAGAGGGAGAATTCTAACTCTGAATCCGCTGCTGGAGGCTATGAAGCCAGGGGCTTTAGCAGTGAAGAGGGAGGTACTCATGGAGGTGGAGACAACATCAGAAGGAGGGGGCTTCACTGGTGGGGGAAGGGGTTCAACACCCAGAAGAGACTGCAAGAAGATGGACCTGAGAAGAGAGAAGGAGAATGGATGGAATCCTAGGGAAGCGATCACAGATGAGCATCAACATTGAGTGTTTTAGAATTTCTGCGGCAGCAGCTTCTGTAACCGAAAACTGGAGGTGGTTTAAAGTCCATTGAGAGAGAACAGGTTACGGTACTGCCGACAACTACAAAGCGGAATACTACGTGATTTTAAAATGCTGCATGGATTTTTAATGAGGTTTAGAAAATGATTCCACCAAATAATCTCGAAAGGATGGTCACGTGTTTGTTAGAATGTAAATGAGGGGGCACCTCAGGCGCTCAGTTGGTTAAGCGGCTGCCTTCGGCTCAGGTTGCGATCCTGGAGTCTTAGGATCGATCCCTGCATCAGGCTACTTGCTCGGCAGGGCGTCTGCTTTTCCCTCTGACCCTCCCCCTTCTCATGCTCTCTCTCTCTCTCTCTCTCTTAGTCTCTCTCTCTCTCTCTCTCTCAATAAATAAATAAATAAATAAAGGAATGTGAAAGAGGTGGGGCGCCTGGGTGGCTCAGTTGGTTAAGCTGCCAACTCTTGGTTTGGGGTCAGGGCATGATCTCAGGGTTGTGAGATGGAGCCCCCCATCCTGGGGCTCTCCGCTCAGCAGGGAGTCTGCTTAAGATCCCCTCTCTCCCCTTCTTTCCCTCCCCCTCCCCGTCTGTGCCCGTGCACTTTCTCTTTCAAATAAATAAGTAAATAAATAAATAAAATCTTTAAAAAAAAAGGAATGTAAAAAGGGTATATGCAGAAAAACCAGACTGGAAAGATAGGCCCCGACCATAAAAACATGGACCAGTGTGTGGGTTTTTCACACACAGTGAGAGCAGAACAGCAATGAAGAGAAGGGCCCCCGGAGCTAGGCTTCCAGCTTAGGAATCCTGGCTCCCCTGCTTATGAGCCGCAGAACCTTGGTCAGGTTACTTCTGTGCCTCAATCTCACCTGCAAAATGGACATAACACTATCCCCGTCCATGGGTCTTATGACAATTAAAATTAATATGTATAAAGTCACAGAACAGCATACCTGGCAGAGAGTAAACACTATATAAATGTTAGACCACATTACTATGGTTATTATCTTTCCTCTTAAGTTTTTTTTTTAGTGGGGCGCCTGAATGGCTCAGTCATTAGGCATCTGCCTTTGGCTCAGGTCGTGATCCCAGGGTCCTGGGATTGAGCCCCGCACCAGGTTCCCTGCTTGATGGGAAGCCTGCTTCTCCCTCTCCCACTCCCTCTGCTTGTGTTCCCTCTCTTGCTCTCTTTCTATCAAATAAATTTAAAAATCTTTAAAAAAAAATTATTTATTAGAGAGAGAGTGAGAGAGAGCACCCTGAGATCATGACCTGAGCTGACACCAAGAGTCGAACGCTTAACCAACTGTGCCACCAGGCGCCCTGGTTATTATTATCTCTACATATTCTATCAATCACTTTAATCACATGAAAAAACAATACACTTGAGATATCTATTTTAAGAGGTTCAGTTTACAAACTCTAAGTTCTCTAGAACTATATGAAGTGGTGTATCATACATAGGATATATTAAGAAGGTTATTATTCTTGTACCGAAGGACTAAGGAACTGGGGCTTCAAAGAAAGGTATGGCTTTTGTCCAGGCTCCTGGGAGGCAATCTCTAAACCCCTAAAATTCCCCCAGTGATGGGGTGTCTCTGTTACTCATGGCAGGTCCCTCAGGCAACAACAGCTGGATTACCTACGGACAGAACCTCAAAGTGGGGGCTGCCGCATGGGAAAGACCAGCCATGGGAGTGACTGGTAGGCTGGGCTTTGGGTCACGTGATATCTGCCCACCCTCCAGAGGAGGGCTGGAAATTTGAGTTCAGACCAGGGGGCAGTAATCCAATCAGCCGTACCCATGTCATGGAGCCTCCATAAAAAGCCACAGAGCTCAGAGCTTTTTTTCGGTTTGGCAGTACTCTGTGTGGACAGCCACTCACGGACGCTGGGAGGGGAACATGTCCCTGAGGATAAGGGCAGCTTGTCTTCTGGGAGCCACCCACGTTCTGCCCCACACACCCTTCCTCCTGCTGCTTCTAACTTGTAGCCAGCTGCCACACTCAAACTATCATCGCGAGCAGAGCGCTTTCCTGAGTTCTGGGAGTCAGTCCAGTGAATTATCAAACCTGAGGGTAGTTGTGAGAAACCCTGGGTTTGTAAACAGCTCATGTGATGTGAGGATGGTCCCAGGACCCCCAAACTTGCAGCTGATGTCTGCAGCGGGTGCAGACTGTACAGACTGGCAAACTCCTCACGGTACTTCGCCTAAATTTGACTCTTATTCGGAAGATAAAGAGGAGGACTTCTTACCTGTGTCGAAACATTTAATAGAATAATCAGCTAATGCCACAAGGAATTCAGACTTCCTACGGAGATTAAAGGCCAGAGCCGTGCAAGCTTGTGCTGTTCGCTGAACAAGATTAAACCTATTAAGAGATTACTGCATTAGTATCAGAAAGTCTTCCAACAGTCATCAATTTTACGTTGGAGGAGTCCTTAGAGATGAAGAAAATGAAACCCAGAAAAATGAACCCTCACACTGGTAGGCCAAAAATGGATTACGAAGAGTGCTGTCTGGCACGTACAGGAATCTGGAATTTACTTAACAGGTTTTAAGCTTAGCAGAATTACGACCAGCCACGGCTTCCGGGAAGGGGATTTTGTTGGCAATGGCAAACGGACAGAAAGATCATGAAGCAAGCCACTACAGAGCATGTCAACCAGCGCTCTGGGGCTGACGCGGAAAGGACAAACAGGACGAGGAGTCAAGTGGGAGAAGGGCTGGTGACACACTGAAATGAGGTAGAGAGGGAGGAATCAGGAATTTCCTCACGTGCAAAAGGAAGGTAAGAAAAGAGTCATGATTAAGAGATCAAGCGAACTAAGACACTGATTGAATGAAATAACATACGCTAAGTGCTTAGCAGAGTACTTGGCACACAGCTAGAGTTTAATTTACTAAAAAAATCAAGTTTTCAAGATTGGGCAAAAGAGGGACAAGTCTGGGATGTAGGAAATAAGTCTGGTTTTAAATATGTGAGTTCAAGGCCTTTAAAAGTTGTGCTATCCAAGAAACAGAGTGCGGGCCAGAGGTGTGATTTAAAACCTCCTAGGAGCCACCTTGAAAAAGTAAAAAGAAAAAAGGTAAAATTAATCTTAATAGCATATTTTACATAATATGTACTTACTATCATTTCCACATTGAATCAATAAAAAATCACAAATGAGATATTTTACATTCTTTTTTTCATACTAAGTCTTCCCAACCCAGTGTGTATTTTACACTAACAGCACATCTCAATTTGGACTCGCCAGCTTTCACGGGCTCCGGAGCTTGACGCAGCTACCGCACTGGACAGCCTAACGTAGAAGATATCCCGTACGTAGTAGAGGTAGATCTGGGTTAACAGTGTTTGCACTGCAGCTGAAGCCTTAGGCTTGGTGCTGAATGAGGACATGGAAGGGAGCAGGCCACCGACAGATGCCCGAGCAGCACAATAAAGGGGCAGGCATTCGCAGAAGAGTCAGCAAAACGAGGGGGGGGAAGATGATCGGAGAAGTAGAAAACTCAGGAAAGAGCTGTACCTTGAAGCAAAAAAAAACATTCCAGGGAGGAGGTAGAGATGAGTATTTAGTAAGATGAAAATCGAAGAGAGACGAGTGAATCAAGCAAGTAAGATTTCCGAGGGACACCAGCATGGTGGGCGTTAGAATCCGACGGGCTTGATTTCAAGTCTCAGCTCTGACACTTACTCCTCTGCTCGGCTGTGATTATGCATAGACAGAGAGAAAAGGGACAGTGGACAAAATAAGGGAGGAACCCTTGTGGTGCTACGTCCCAGGGGTAGCTACCGATCGAGATTAGCATGGGAAGAAATTAGGGTCACTTATTTTATGAATAAACCGACCACAGGGACGGCCATATATCTGAGGCTGCGCTTGGGAAGGGGAAGGGAAGCTGGAAAGTGTCTGTTTTCTCATGGGTTGGGAGGCCAGGGAGTCGAGCAAGAGTGGGGTCGTACCCAAGGAGACAAGGAAGCAGGCAAAGACAAGGAAGCTGGAGGAGAGTGGGAGAAGTAGTAAGTACTGATGAGCAAATGAAGGGAAGCATCATTGATGCGGACGTCCCTTATTCAGTAATGGAGTCCCTCAACACCAATTTTTGTTTTCTTTAGCAGTGGGAACAGAGAAGCGACAGTTATATGAATTTAAGATTGAGAACGGGCAGGGTGTGTTAGGCAAGAATAAAGGGTGGGAGAATTGTGATGGTTATTTTTTTGGTAAAGAGTGGAAACAATGATTAACATGTATAATAACTCACAGAGAAATTAATTACATACGACCCCTTCTTTTCCTGAACTATTTGAGGATAAGTTAGCGAGATCAGGATTCCTACAAATAAGAAAATTCTCCCATATAATTACAATACAACTATCAAAATCAGGAAATCCCCCTGATATATTACCACCACCTAATCCTCAGACCCCATTCAGTTGTGCCACTTGTCCCCAAGAATGTCCTTCCGGGATCAGCCCAGATGCATGCCTTTACGTGTCATGGCTCTGGTCTTCCTCAGATTGGAATAGTTCTTCTGGTTTTTCTACAACGTTCATGACCTTGACCCTTGGGAAGAGGACGAGCCATCTTGTTACACAATCGCTTAATTTAGCTCTGTCCGTCTGATGATTCCACTGCCTGGATCCAGGGGCCATGTCCCTGGCTGGAATACCACAGAAGGGATAGTCTGCTCTTTCCACTGCTGCCAGGGGGCACATGAATTTTGATCTGTCCCGCTATTCGTGTCATCATTTGCTCGACTTCTTCACTGCAAAATTAATCTTTTCCCCTCTATAATTAATCAGTATTTGGGGGGGAGCTGCTTTGTGACTATGCAAGTATCCCTTCTCATTGAACCGTTGTTTGATGACCGAATGAAGTTCTAGATTGCTATTTTACTCAATGGGTTATGACCCCTTACTATCATTATTTATTTTGATACTCAAAGTGTCTCCAATATGGCAAGAAGGAGAGCTTTAAAGCTGACATTTATGTCCTTTGGACACTCTTTTTTAAAATAATTCCTCCTTTCTGGCTACAAAATGTTCCAGATTCACCTACCTCCATCCTGAAACTGGCCGTTTCTGCAAGGATCCCTGATTACTTTTAGCAGAGCATGGTATTTAGAACAGAACCAGGCAATGAATGTATTCATTGCTACTGGGGGGTTGTTGTTCCCAAGTCCTGTAAGTGGAAAAAGCTAGGCAACACATGTACCTATAGTGCATTCACTCACTCACAAGCTTCTATTTACCTCTATGTCAATATATTCAAATCAGGCCGTACGCACAGATATATCCCATTCCAATCCAGTACCCCAGGGTTTGTTCTTGGTCTCTGCCTTTCCATATCTGCAACTCCCCTTTCCCAATGTTAGCTACCTGGCCCCCATTATCCTCAACATATTTACTCACTTTATCGAAGCCTCCGGTCTTTCCCATGATTGCCCCATCGCCCACACAGACACCTTCTGACTCCGGCCAGGCGGACATGGTTCTCCCACCCACCCACCCACCCCCACCGTAGGCATTACTCCCTCCGTCAATCCCATCTCACTGCTTCTGTACCAAACTGCTGAGCAAAGGAAGAGGAGGCAGATGAGCGCAGATCAATTCTTTAAAACTGCCAGATGCATAAACTGTGACAATAATGTACAAAGGAAATTATGCTCTTTCTAAATGGCCCAACAAAGTACCAGATGTTGCTAAATGAGCAATAGTAAAATTTTAAATTTAAATAACAAGCTACTGGAGATATTGTGCCAACTGGAAACTTGAATTCTCTAAAAAAAAAAAAAAAAAAAATCTAACCATATTTTCTACGCTTTCCCACTTTCTTCCGTCAGCATTTATGACAGGGTTTTACAAGGTACCTGAAATATAGTAAGAACTTGATGAATCTTGCTGAATGAATAATTAATAGGCGGTACTAAAATTGGCAGTAAATGACTTGTTAAATATGATCTGTATCAAAGGTGTCTGCTCACCTGTTTCCATACAAGTCAAAAACATAGATATTTCCTTGATGGTCCCCAGCAATTAAGCAATCACCTGAGCTGTCAAAAGCCACATTCAAAAATCGCAAGACTTTGGGAAGGTAGTCAGAAGAGCTGTGAATGATGTTCACGATAATCCTGTCAGAAGCAAACAAACAACATACTTAATTCTATGTCAAGCATTACTCACGAAAAACACGGCTTTTATGGTAATTTCACTAATTTTGAAGTTTCCTGCCTACCCATTCTTCCCTCTCCTGCTACTCTCCTAGAAGCCATCCTAGTGATTTCTGGAAGCCATGGAGAAAGTTATTAACCAAGTGCTACTGTGCATACAGATTCATCAAATACTTGAAAACCCACTATGCGTCAGACGCTGAAGAAGCTACGACCTGAAAGTAACAGATGGACACAGGCCCTGTTCTCAGGGAGCTTTCAGTTTCGTGGTGAAGACAGATATTGAAAAACACAAGCACACATATGAAAAGCTTCATAAACTGTGATTAAGTGATAGACAATAACAAGATATAAGAGAATGTATTTTTGATTGAGTCAAATCGCTACATGAAGCAACAAACATATGCTAAAAACAATGATGTAATAAGTGTAAAGTAGTTTTATATAAACCATAAGCCACGGTGTGTAAGAAAAATCTCAATTCAATATCTTAATTTTAAGATACCTTAATGAAATTTTGTAATATAAAGTGTTCCAGAGTGAACTAAGTGTACATGAGTTTTATTTTCAGCTATATTGGTCTAAAGGTACTTTTTTTTTTTTTTTAAAGATCACGTACCACATATCTGTTGAAAAGAAACCTGTTAGAAAACTTGGAGCACGGAATGAATAGCTTCTTAAAATAGTTTACGTGTGCCTATTCAGGTCACAAAGACCAGAATAATCCCCTTCTTTGTTACAATAGTTTCCTAATCATGAACATTTTTATGTTAATTGACCTTTTGTGAGTATCTGAACTCAAGTCTTAGAAATGTTTATCTTCCTCATTATTTTTCATTAAAAAATACTAAATTGAATTAAATGTATTAAACATTTTCTTCAGTTCAATCATAAGGCTTTTCACTGGGTGAAACAGCAAAATTCTTATGATACTTCATGTTTATCAAGTCCTTGACAAAGATTCTATGTTTGACCAAAGCTTTAGTTTGGCTCCTGAACCTTCTCAGGGGCACTTCATCTGTGGGCTTCCTTGTAAAATCTAATTTTAGCACAAACCCTGTTCAGTCTGTTTAATTAGAACTCCTGATCATCCATGGTAACTGATCAGCTTCTCATTCTCCACCATCTCCCAGCTGACATCCAGTCACCCTGGCTTGTCTTCTTCAAGAATCTCTTTTAGGCTGGTTTACCCATAACTCCCTTAACCTAGATGTTTCCTCTTAGTGATTTTTCCATCTACTGCCTCAGTACATCCCCACTCACTCAGCCTGTAGCTGGAGCTGAGCCCAGTTCTATACTGAAGTCTCCTTTACTCTATTGCAACAGAGGAATAAAACCTGTTTTTACTTCAACTACTGCCAAGCTCTGGGTTTCCTCTGACATCCCCAAAGGGGAGAGGGTGAGAATAAATATAGTGAAATGAGTAATAATATCAATGTTCCCAGGCAATCAAAATCAGACAGAGTGAACCACTCTTCCTTCCGGTTTTACTTCTATAACATTTACTATGTGTGTGAATTACAAAATTATATGATCATTGTTCAAAATAAGGAAAGAACAGAAAAACACTAATAAATGAAACTGATTATAACTCTACCATCTAGATAATAATCACAATTAATAGCAACATCCCACCCCTCTGATTTCACATAACGCACACATACCAACATTTATTTTAGAACTGTCTTTACCAGCATTTATTTCAGAACTGCCTTTCAATTGCTCGCAGGTTGCCTGACAGTTTCTCAGGCCGTCAACATAATAAAAAAATCAAATATTTACCGAACACCAAGATGCATGAGACACTGTTTTAAAGTCTTTAAAATGCCCTAAGATGACCCTGTCTGGGAGGAACGTTTATCTTCACCTACAGTCTTGGTGATTAACTTGCCCAAGGTCACAGAACTAGTAACTGGACATTTACTGCAACTCAATCTCTGCCCCTTGTCTCTCTTGAGACCATAACAATGGGTTTTGATGAACAAAAAGAAAGCTATGGTTTAGTGGAAGTGAATAACATTTCCATAAAATTGTTTCTTTCCTTTCTTCGATCTTGCATGTATATCTGGATATTTTATAACAGCAAAAAACAGAATTTCTGTGGGTTGGCAATAACTTTTAAAACATTTAGAGAGCATCAGAAGTCAGGGTAGTATTTACATAAACTTCAAATTTGGAAATGAAAATCCCTACTGAAGAATCCCTAACCAAAAATTTTTATTCGATACAGTTGGTGGGACAGCAACATGGCTAGGGGCCTGACAGCAACCAGAAATCAAACGAGCTCTTAGTACAATGTCCCGCACGGTCGTTCGAGTGGGGAAAGCTGGCACATGAAGTCTGCTGATTTGTTGAGAAGCTACCAAAGGATCAACAGAAAAATTACCAGGAATAAAAACATGAATTCAAGTGATGCTGCAAAGGCCACAAAATCTTTGGAAATTAAAAGCAATGGCATCAATCTGTATGCAGCAATTGGAACCAAGGTGGCACCACTTGGGGCAAAGGTTTCCGTTAAAGTCTTGAGTGGCTTTGTATGATAGTACAGTGATGTATACATGTCATTGTATATTTGCCCAGATCCATAAAACATACAACCCCAAAGTGGACCCTAGCATGACTGTAGACTTTGGGTGATAATGCTGTCCCAATGCAGACTCATCAGCTACAATTAAAACACCTCTGTGATGGGTAATACTGATAATGGGGAGGCTAAGCATATGTGAGGGCAGGGGTATATAGGAAATCTGTCCCTATCAATTTGGCTGTGAACCCAAAACTGTTCTTAAAAAAAAAAAAAAAAAAAGTCTACTTAAAAAACAAACACCATCAGCAGCAGCAGCAGCAGCAGCAGCGCTAACCACCTTGCACTGTACAATGTAGCCCCATGGTCACTGCCATACACGCTAACGTGTAAACTCGACAAACCCAGAAGTTTGTTTTGTTCCACTGCTGTCCCCCAGACCTTAGAAGCTTGGCACAGAGTAGATGCTCAACAAACAGTTGATGGATGTATCCTTGTCTGAATATAAACGATGACTTAAGATGGGTACGTTGCAGCATTTGGAAGGGGTCGACGTGCACCTTTCCCCTTTCCCTGCATCGTTCTTCCTGAGTGCTTTTCCAGGTGCAATCGTTAAAAAGAGTTACTGAGCATCTACTGCGCGCCGGGATTGCTACGGGGCTGCTCCGATAATTCAGGCAGGCAGAACCCTGGTACCCATCCTCTCGCGCACCTCGCTGACCCCCACCCCATGACCAGGAAGGGTTCCCCGACGACCTCGGCGCCCGGATCACGGCAGGACTAAGGCTACCTGCCTTTCAAGAGGTCATCCGGGCCAGGGATGCGGGCCAGGGATCAGAGGCAGAGCCCGAATCTCCCCCCACCCCCGGCCCCTGGCACTCCTCCCCGATATCCTCCCCAACAGCGCCTCCAACGCCACTGCAAGGACGCAGAGCCGCCCCTCGCCGGCCTCCAGGCCCCTCCGCAGCCCGCCGCCTTTACCCGTCCCGAGCGGCCGGGGAGGGCTTGCGGTGCCATAGCTTGCCGCTCTCCTTGTTGCCCAGGTCCGTGCTCTGCATGGCGAAGCCCACCCGCGGCGGCCGCCGCCGCCACAGCCGCCGGGTGCGCAACCGACCGGGCGCCTTCCCGGCAGGCTCCGCGCTCCCCGCCCGGGAAATTTAAGCTTCCGACCCGGGAGATTTGAGCTCCCGCCCCGGCGTCCGGGATCCCCCCGACGCCGACCTTTCTATTCACAGCCAATAAGGAGGAGGTTTTCCTCCCAACTCCGCCCAGGCAACCCCTGCAACCCTGGACAATGGAACCGGCCAACGACCCTCTCTTAGACTCCGCCCCTTTTAGGGGTCCACCCCCAAGCCCGGGGCCCAAAGCCTTCTGGGAATGGTAGTTCTCTGCAGGTGGCACGGGTCGTCGGCAATCCGCTTGAGAATTCTGCACTCTTGGGGCCTCGCGGGGTTTTAAGTTCCCCACCCAGGCCAATAAAAGTGGTTTTCTCCTGTGGTCGCTGCGTTCCTTTCTACGTTGCGTTTAGGGATTAAAGGGTCGTAGAGACCACTAATAGAGAAGGATGCAAATACTTTGAGAATTGCTGTGTTCCTTTTAATGGAGAGTTCGGGCTCAAAAGAACCTCTACAGAGTCCATTCTTGTCCTTTTCACCGTCGCAATTCCTTTTTCAGTTGTAATGTAACAAGAGGCGCCGGTATCATGGTGTCTAGTTCACCGGTCATGGACCAGAAAAGCTATGTCATCAACAACCAGTGGCGCTGACATCTGAGCTCCTTTTCGTAAATATCCACTTAGCCCTTCTCTCGTGCCTGCCAGGTATCAAGCGTTCTTCTAAGTGCTTTACGAATATTAATCCATTTAATCCTTATAGCAAACCACAATGTTGGTAGTACTATTATTCTCATTTTTTGTCCTCTGTGAGGCAGTACATTGGTTTCTTGCGGTTGCAGAAATGAATAACCACAAACTTGGTTAAAAAAAAAAAAAAAGTTATTCTCGTATTCTGGAGGCCAGAATCAGAAATCAAGGTGTTGGCCCAGCGGCTCCCTCCAGAGGCTCTAGGGAAGATTCCATTCCTTGCCTTTTCCAGCTGGTGACTTCCTTGACTTGGGACCACATCATTACCTTCCAGCCTTCACTCTCTGCCCCTATCTCTACATTGTTTCCAATCTCTCTTGCTTTTCTTTTATGAGAACACCTGTCATTGGACTTAAGGTCCACCTGGGTAATCCAAGATGATCTCTTCATTCCAAGGTTCTTAATTACACCTGCAAAGACTGTTTTCTTTCTTTCTTTCTTTCTTTCTTTTTTTAAGATTTTATTTATTTATTTGACAGAGAGAGATCACAAGTAGGCAGAGAAGCAGGCAGAGAGAGAGGGGGAAGCAGGCTCCCCACTGAGCAGAGAGCCCGATGTGGGGCTTGATCCCAGGACCCTGGGATCACGACCTGAGCCGAAGGCAGAGGCTTTAACCCACTGAGCCACCCAGGCACCCCAAGACTGTTTTCTAAATAAGGCAACATTCACATGTTCTGGGGATTAGGTTATGGATATAATTTTGGGGGGCCAGTGTTCAACCTACTACAGGTGGGTACTTCTTCTAGCCCCATTTTGCAGACAAGGAATTGAGTTAGTAAGAGAGCCATGATTAGATTTTTAGTCTTTTCATTCTTGGTCTCCGTGTTTTCTACAACAGAAAAATGAGTTTTTACAAAATTATAAGGCCATGATATTTGAAAAGCTCAAACTCTGCCAAAAAAGCAAAACTCTCACAAAAATTGACCAATGCAGATTTTATATTTCGTATTGTTACCAAGGGGTGGCTCTGAGAGACCACACAACTTTTAATAACCTATTGCAGGAGAGACAATCACATTCCTCATTTTTATTTATATGATTTGAGATGATAATAAATTGTGCGTGTGAATGTTTTCATTTTTCGTCAGGAAACTTAGGGTATTAAGCTTATGGGCACTTAACTTGAAACACAGGTTATTTCTCACATTTCTATCCCATGCAGGTAACCAAGCAACATTTTTATCAGTAGCAGAGACATACATGCTGAATGATTTCCTTAACTACTTTGGTTTAACCAGACTGAAGTTCAGCTTGTATGGGCTGTCACAGCCCATGTGACTATCCTGTCCAACTTCAGGTATGTGCTAAAGAGGTTTCCACATTACAGATCTTCTGGACGCCCACTTTGCGCTTATCTTTGGATTGAATCTGGGCCATATCTGAAGGTCAGGCTGGTGAATGACGAGACATGCCCCCAAAGGCTGTCAGCCTTCTATTTATTATAATTTCCCAATGTTTATAACCCAAGTTGGTAGACCATTTGCTAGTTCTTTCCTGAATCATTACTCAGTCAATAACTGATGAATCCTATAAATATATGTTTTCAGCCTAACTGAGGTGTAATTGATATTCAATAAGCGGCATGTATTTAAATTGTATAATTTAATGACTTGACATAGATATGCTCTTGCGAAGCTATCATCATAATCAAGATAATGAACTTATCCATCACCCCTAAAAGTTTCCTCCTGCCTGTTTGCAGTTCAATCTCTTTCTATCCCCACCACATCTTGCCTGCAGGCAACCGTTAATCTACTTTCTGTCTCATAGTGAATATTTTCTAGAAATTTATATAAATAGGTCCTAAACTATATACTCTTTTTTTTTTTTTGGCCTGGCTACTTTCATTCAGCATAATTATTTTGAGAATAACTATGTTGTTGGGTATATCAACAGTTCACATGTTCTTTTAAAAAAATATTTTATTTATTTATTTGACAGAGATCACAAGTAGGCAGAGAGAGGCGGGGGGGACAGGCTCCCTGCTGAGCAGAGAGCCTGATGCGGGGCTTGATCCCAGGACACTGGGATCATGACCTGAGTGGAAAGCAGAGGCTTAACCCACTGAGCCAGGCAGGTGCCCCAGCAGTTTACCTGTTCTTATTGTTGAGTGGCATTCCATGGTGTTGATACACCACAATTAATGTATCCATTCACCTTTGAGGAACATTTGGATTGTTTCCAGTTTGGGGCTATTACAAAGACAGATGTTATGACCATTCCAGTAAAAGTCTTTGCGTAAACACATGTTTTCAGTTCTGTTGGGTAAATTCTTAGAAGTGGAATAGCCGGGCCATATAAGGTAGGTAGAGACTCAACTTTTGAAGGAAGTGTCAGATGTTTTCAGAGTAGCTGTGTCATTTTGCAACCCACCAACTGTGTAGGATAGTTTCAGATGTTCCCTATCTATGATTAGTCTTTGTGATTGCAGCCATACTAGGAGTGTTGTGGTACTCCACAGTCATTTTAACTGCCCTTTCCTGAATGACAAATGATACGTTCAGCATCTTTTCATGTGATTGTTTGTTTTCTGTGTGTATCTTGGGTGAAGTATCTGTTCAAATACTTTATCCTGTGTTTAATTGGGCTGTTTTTTTCTTATTGAGTTTTGAGAGTTCTTTACATATTCTGGATCTAAGCCCTTAATCATATATGCACTTTGCATATATTTTCTTCCTTTTTGTGTCTTGTTTTTTCATTCCTTTAACAGTATCTTTCAATGAGTAGATCTATTAATGTTGATGAAGATCAACCCAACAGTGTTTTCTTTTGTGAATTGTGTATTTGGTGTCATATCTAAGAAATCTTTACCTAATCCAAGGTCACAAAGATTTCCTCCTGGTTTCTTCTTTATGTATATTTCAAATACATCCTCAGAGTGGACGGAAAATTATGTGTATCCAAGGAATTTTAGGGAGTTGTTTTGCAAAGTCCTTTCTCCTTGTCCTCTTGCTTATCCCACTTCTACCACGGCAGAATGACTTCTTTTTTGCGATGATAATCTATCATCTGGAGAGAGAAGCACTTCCACTTTGCCGACTTTGCTAGAGGGCATTTAGTGGACATTCGGATTGCTTAACATCTGAAAACCCTTTCTGTTTGGAAAAAAAAAAATCCCAAGATATTTAGAAGGTAAAGGGCAGCTATCCCCTGGCACCCAGTTCTCCAACACCCCCAAACCCACGCCAGTCAAGGAGCGAGCAAGCCAATCAGACCAGTATGGTAACCAAAGACAACTGAAAATACAATTCAAATATTTCCTGCAATCTCTCAAAGAGCACCAAGTAGAAAGCAATTAATAGCCTTTAGCAGATTTCTTCAAATACCCTTTCTCCCCTCATTCAGTTCAGTTAGACGAAGTTATGCCATAATCACTAACGACTCCAAAACTCGGTGGCTTAAAACAACTCAACAGCATGTGTCGCTCCTATTAGTCTCTAGGGAAACGGGGTTGACAGAGTAGCCAACATTTCAAAAGTTTTGGATTGCTGTCCAGGGGGAAGAGCGTTCTAAAGGGTCTCATACCAGCAGTTAAATGCTCTAGAACCCAGAAATGTCACTATAACTTTTATTCCCAATTCACCACCAGAACCATGGCTCCATCCAAACAGAAGGGGCCGGGAAGTGCAGTCCTACTGAGTCAGTTACCAGCAGCTGCAATATTGTTCTGAAAACGGAGCCACCAAAACTCTGTGCCATTCAACCACGAACATTTATTGCTCACGCATTCGGGATCCCCCCGCTGTTACTGCAGCATAAGGGAGACCATCCTGTCTAATAGAGTAATTTTGTTCCCATTTTACAAATGAGGAAACAAGTGTTGGCATCCTTGTTTACTTGTCTAAGGTCATGAAACTATCGAGGCCAGAGTCAAACGTTGGGGCGCCTGGCTGGCTCAGTCAGAACAGAATGTCATTCTTGATCTCAGGGTTGTGAGTTCTAGCCTCAGACTGGGTGTAGAGATTACTAAAAATTAAATAAATAAATAACAATACAAAATAAAATAAAACAAATGTAGACCTCGCTGGCTCCGTTATCTCATTTTGCTGTTCCTGCACCAGATTGGTGTGGTTCTGAATTCTTCCAGAAGACCTATCTCCTGGACCAGAAAATAATTTATTGCGAACATGGGTTAAAAATCTCTGGGAACTTTTGTAACAAGATTCTGTTTTATCTCCTTGGAAAAAGGGTTTATTTGCACATTAAAAGGAGTGTTGGTAAACAAAGATGTTGAGAGCACTTAAAAAAAAATAAAGCACTGAGTCAAGTGGGGCTGGGGGAGGGTATGGTTAGGCAGTAGACAGGGATAATTTTGCCTGTCTAGCACTGTCCCT